ACCCTAAACCCTAACCCTAAACCCTAAACCCTAAAAACCCTAAAACCCTAAACCCTAAGCCCTAAAACCCTAAAAAATACTCGTCGTACTCTTATATATACTTATACCTATCGAAGGTAATTCGTCCCGATTACTAATCGATATTTAGGTTATACTTCCTAAGCTATAGAATACCTAGAATAATATCGTAGTCTCCCGTTTCTAAGATATTAAACCGTATTAATTCTAGGTACCTATAGATAGATATAGGCAATATAATAGTTTCCTCGCTAACTCCTCCCGAAAGTACTTCTCTATCGAGTCCTACGACTAGTATTACGTATAGTAGAGGTTTAGTTATAACTTATCGATCTTCCTTAAACCTTAGGTTTATAAAGTTATTAGTAGCTCCCGAGTCGATAAGAGTCTATACTATTCCTATTAGTAGGTTTATATATAGTTTAATATATATTCCTAATAGTATTACCGCTAGATATATTATTAGTCGATCCTTATAATTATATATCTAGCGTTTATTATACTAAATTCCCTAGTATTCTTTCGTTTATTATAGCTTTTTTATCTACCGTAGTAATCTTAGTTCGATACCGTAATCTAACTTTACTAACCTATAAATAGTATATATTTCGTTATAGTATATAATACTAGCTATCTTATTATATCTTAGATATCGCGTATATCCTTTATATACGTAAGTAGAATTTTCGTAAGGGTATCCTACTAGGTCGTCGCCTTTCTTAATTACGTTAATAAGGTACTAGTCTAGTCTACTAGGCTATATCTTTCCTTCGAGATATCCTATAAGCTCTTTAGCTTCTTTATTATTATAATAGTTTATAGGGCTTTCTATTAGTATCTCTAGGATAGTTTAATCTATTCTAGGGAGCGTATCTAGCGTTCTTAGATTACTATTAGCTCTAGGGATCGGGTCCTATATCTCCGAGGGCCCTATATTATTAGTTATAAAATACTTAGGGTCCTAAGACTCTTTTATTCCTACGACTATAGTTTCTAGTCCTAATAGGTCTTATAACCGCTAACTAAGGTCCTCCCTAGCCGTAAGTCCTATTAGGTCCTAGATTAGTACCTAGGGTACGTACTATATCTACCCTTAACTTTCTACTATATCCTAATCGATTTCTAGATAATCGAGTTCTAGCTCGTCGGCTAACCCTTTAATATATAGGTTACCCGCTATTATCTCTTCTGGGTCTAGGCCTTAGTACCTACCTATAAGATCTTCTAAGAGTTCGTCTCTTAGGTCTATAGCGACTCGCCTTTTTTATCTAAGGCTATCGATAAGGGTCTCGACCTACCCTCTTAGATCGCCCTATTACTTATTAGGGTATATTTCCTTCTAGTATTCCTAACTAGCGCTTATTTCTTTAGCGTTAATATCTATACTAGTAGTAGCTTTTCCCTCTTAGGTCGCTTATAGTACTTCGCGTATCGCCTATATATATTACCGTTTCTTATATAGTTTCTTCTATTTATATTCCTTCGCGCGGTATCCTAGTTTCCTATAGGTAAAGTAAAGATTCTTCTATCGACGCTCGTCTTATTCTTTACGTATTATATTAAGGTCTATCGGTATTAGGCTATATAAGTTATATCTCGCTAGTTATAGCGTAGACTACCTAGGTCGCCTATCGTTCTAGCGATACTAGATAGGTAGTCGCTATCCGCCCGTTCTCTACTATCTTAGTTCGCGATATTACGTCTCGCGATTATAGATTCGATTATCGATTTTAACTATAACGCCGATAATCTTATCTAGCGTATCTAGTTAATTATCGTATATTAGTTCGTCCTTAATATATTCCTTTAGTCTATCTTCGAAGACTAAAACGAAGTAGTCTTTATCTTAACTTAAGTATAAGATAATTTATTAAAATTTAGCGGTATATATACTAATAGAGGTAGTTTATTATAGGCGTCGAAGGCGTCGTTTAGCCGTTCGTTTTGTATCGATATTACTAAACGTAAGTTTAATTCGTTCCTTAAACTTATTATAGCTATTAAATACTTTTTAGGTAAAGTCGCTCTAGACTTCTTAGTCGGTTTCTTCTTAAAACTCGCGTAGGAATAGTTCGAACTAATCGAAGGCTAGTCCTCGGAGGAAGGTCGATATATAGATAACCTTATCGGCTTCTATAGGTAGCTTAGATCGGTTAATTTGTTAGTTCGTATCTAGTTAAGTAAAGAACGATCGAAGCTTAGATTATATTCTATTAAAGAACTTAGGTTACGGAATCTTAACTATAAAGACCGGACGTTAGTTCTCTAGGGTTAAGATTTGCTCCTATAGTTACTAGATTATCTTAGCTATCTACTAAGGGCTAGATACGTTACTTCGTATAGAAGTACCGCTACTAGTAGTCGAATCGTTAACTATATTATCTTATCGTAACTCGAAACTTAATTCGAGACGGTCTTTAATATATTACGTATTAGCTAACTAGTTATAGTTAGGTTAGATAGGTTTAGGGCGTACTTACCTTAATACTCCTCGAATAGTCTAACGTTAATAATCGGTCTTAACTAAGCTAATACCGCGTAGGGCCTTATAGTAGCCTAAGTCCTTTTAAGCGATTAAGGAACTAATACTAGGTAGAGCGCCGAGTAAATCTATACCGGAGTATTAGTCTACTCGTAAGTATTATTAAGTTATAATTAAGTAAAGAGTCATAGTAATCTAAAAGGTAAATATAAGTAACAATATATAATTAAAGACGAAGAACTAAACTAGATATATAAATAAGTGTCCTTATATATCCCTAAGTTCTTCCTATATAGAATAGTAGATAGTAGAATAGTAGAATCGCCTTAGCGGATTCTACTAATCTACTTACTACCCTTCTACTACCTATATAATCACGTGATACTAAGTAGCGGTTATCTAGTACGTAGAGCAACCTATATATCGGAAATCCTCTGCGGGGTGGATCCGCTCAGGGCGGATCATGCTCTTGCTCAGTGAGCTTGCACGTGACCTACTGACAGATCTTGCTGGTTGGCTCTCGATGGCCCATTGGTGTGCCTAGTGGATCGCCACTGATTGGTGACGGATAGGTCCGTAACACCCGCCTTCTATCTATAAAACCCCCCGCTCTACTAAGGCATTTAGTTTAGGAAATATTTACTCTATATATAACATATAATAGTACTTGTTTGGTTCTATAGCTAGTAAGATTCAAGATAGGTTTTAACGGGACTATAAGGACTTACCAAAGTATCGACTAGAAAGGTCCTTAATATTGAAACGAAATATAGACCTAATATTAGGTTCTCTATTTAACTTTCTAGGAATATAGTCCTAGAAGCGACAATGGCTTCTACTGCTAGGATTAGCTTGCGATAGAATTACTCGTTTCTTATCGGTGAGCTCATCTTTAATGCACTTTCTTTCAAACGCGACTCGCTTGACTAGGTCCTATGTGATCCTCTCCCACTTACTGTCGTCTTCATCCGAGGGATCATCGAGGTAAGTTTCCTCCGGAGAGAGGTTGACCGGCCTTTTGTGAGAAGTCATGCTTTTTACGACCGACTTGACCTCAGGGGAATATAGAAATAAATAGGAGGAGTTGTGCTTATGAAGGAAGCAGGATTGTTTCTGTAAGAGGGGAGAGAAACACCCTTATAAAATTGAGGGCTGCTTTGTGTACTCTGTAAATAGTTCATATACCCAAGCTCATCCGAATCCCTCTTCGATCTGAGATACTACTAGTAGAGGGTGGGGCGTTACTTGCCCTCTGGCACTGGCAGCTCACAAGGAATCATTATCTGGGAATTTTTGGCCTCATAAGCACGCTGACGTGGATTTAGATCGAGCAAAATTTCCTTTTTCATTTCCTCCCAGAGTTCGACAGATGTGCGGAGAACATGGATACAGTACTTCCGGAAATCGGTGTCACCACTTTACACTCTTTCATTGTTTGTTGGACTCCAATGCCAAGAAGAATTAAACTATTTTCGGAATAGGTGAAATATGAGTTTCTGATCTGAGCCTTGTACTGTAAAATATAAAATCCATGTATTATACTAGCCGACGTTCATTACCTGTCATGGCGAGAGAGCTGCTACCTCAGTGCCCCACGTTCATATTCATGGTGGATGCACCCACAAAACCTTCGTTGGCCAGTAAACACTGCCACCAGTGAGTGGTACATCAACCATGCCTCCCATCCTAGCCAAATCTACACTTCGTGTTGATCAATGATACGATGAACAGCGGCGAAATAACTACCTCCCAAATGGCTGAAGCTGTTGACTACAACAAGCGCGCAATCATCAGGATCCGGTCTAACCTGCAGCTATTCGGTAGCATCAGACAGCTCCTATCATCAAAGCTGGACGCCCTCAAAACATCACGCTAACTATGCCAGAAGTCCCGTGAGACCTTCTACTCGAAAAGCCAAATTGTAGCTTTAAATTTTTCTTTATTCTGATTTGGTGGCTAAGAATCGGCTTTGGACTTGATAATGCAGCAGATGAAAAATATAAGTCAATTGCGCAACCAAGAATGTGGCATTTATACACATGCTCTCGAGGGCTGTACAAGATGCGATCTAAAAATGCGCTTTCTCGGTCTCCATTCTCAGAGTTGACTACTGGCACCGCGATCGAGCAGTATCTGCACCACCTTTTCATGTCCTCTAGAAAATGCAGCCTGGAGTGCGTTACCGTCAAATCCGCCCTCGGCGTTGACGTCAGCACCGCGATCGAGCAATATCTGCACCACCTTTTCGTGGCCTCCAGAAGATGCGGCCGGGAGTGCGCCGCCGTATGGTCCGTCCTCGGCGTTGACGTCAGCACCATGATCCAACAGTACTTGCACCACTTTTTCGTAGCCACCGGAAGACGCGGCCTCTAGTGCGCTACCAAATCTTCCGCCTTGGGAGTTGGCTTTGGCACCACAATCGAGCAGCATCTGCACCACATTTTCTTGGCCACCATGTGATGCGGCCTGGAGCGCACTACCGAATATTCCGCCCTTTATATTGACGTCGGCGCCGTGGTCGAGCAGCATCTGCACCACCTGTCCATGGCCGCCGTAACATGCGGCCGAGAGTGCACTGCCATATATTCCGCCTTTGAGGTTGACATTTGCACCGCAGTCGAGTAGTATTTGTATAATCTTCTCGTGGCCTTCAGAAGACGCGGCCTCGAGAGCACTGCCGTATGCTCCGCCCTTACCGTCAACGTTGGCATCGCGATCCAGCAGTATCTGCACACACTCTTGATGACCACCATAAGAGGCGGCCTGAAGTGGGCTCCCCAATCGTCCGCCTCTTTCATTCACCTTTTCGGATGATGTACCACCCACAGCAACTATTGTTATATAGTATAGGACGGAATCAAGACCTAATAAGGATGCGTAGTACACGGGCGAGGCAATATCGACTTTACGACGCTGCATGTCAACGCCCGCATTCCCAGGCGAATCCATATCAAATAGACGTACCCATGTCACGAAGGAGTTTCTCGCATCCTGGAATAACCGCAACACTAATCCTTCAACCCCGGACTTTTGCTCGCCAGAATTTGTAAAGTGATAATACCAATGCATGGCGGAAAAGCGAGCCAGCGGCATATGCTTCAATTTGGTTCCATCAAAATCGTCGCCGAATAGCATCGGCTCTAAGAGATAGACCAAACAGATCTGGGCAATCTCTGAGTTTCCGGGTCCTGGTCGAATTGCGAACCTTGCACCTTTTTGGTTGAGGATACGGCTGGATTGTAGGTACTCCTGCACAGAAAAATGCGCTATGCGACCAATGGAAGTCAGGCGTCCACTGTCATCTTCAATCACCAAGATCTCCACAAGTCCAAGACAAATGTCCACCAAATCATCCAGCTCATACAATCGGCCTTCACGATCAAGGTGTGGCGGATCACTGAGATCAACAGCATGTGCCTCAATCAGCTCATCCACAGTGAATGGCCTAGTAGAAAAACAAAGTAAAGTCAAAATCCGCCGCACGTCTTCAACGTACATTTCGTCGACATTGCACAGGAGTCGCTCGTATGTTTCGTCCAGGTCACGGGGTAGAGAGCGCAAGCATTCGTCGAGCTGGTTGCGATTTCGCACCCGTTTCAGGGCAGTGAACTGACATTCCACATATCGGAATCTGAAATATTTAGGATTAGAAAATACTATATTTTCTTGAGAGGCACGGACAAGGCTCACACGCCACCTGCCATTGTAGTCAACTTGGCTTGAATATCCCTGTGACGTGATTTCCATCTCTGTAGCTTTGGCTCATTGGCGAGTTGATAGGAGACAAAATTGACGATATCTTTGTCGATATCTGAGTTTTTCATCACAATGTTCTGATCCGGAGAAGGATTCAAAGACTGGCGAATATCAAGCTCATCACGGCTGGTCACAATAAGGTGAAGAACAGGCAAGGACCAATTCCGTATTGTTTGTAAAACCTTCAAAACACCTTCTCTTTCGCGGTCTCGGGGACTTTCATCGATGGCGTCAATCAATATGTAGCAGTCACTAAATCTGTAGAGAATACGTTTTATATAGGCCAGGAGGGCTTCCACGGGAGGAGTGCCAGACTTGTATGACATATACAGCTGTTCCAACTCCCTTTCCACGCCCTGTAGTTGGGCTGACAACTGCAACAACAATGCACGTAGCATACCTGATCCGCTCTGTTTTGACTTATCGTTGAAGGAAAAATAAAAAAAAGCGATTCCCACGCTGTGTCTATCCCGCGTCTCGCGGGATACGTGTTGAATCGCTGTTGAGCATAGGACTGACTTGCCACACCCGGCGAATCCATTAACCCAGAGGAAGGAATTGCGCTCGATTAGCCAATTAGCAAAATTATGGCTCTTGAGAAACCATAACCCTGTACTTGTATGACGCTTCGCGCATGAGGCGTTGTGATTCTCTGTCGCATCCGGGGCCATCAGCCAACCACGAATCGACGAGGAGAACTGAGTTGCATTTATCCTTCCAAGGAGTGAACTAAGCTCTTGTATCCCATCCTCAATAGAGGTGTTGCTTCTGAGTTGCAGCACTTCCAGCGCAAAAGATAAATGTTCACGTATCTCGCCAATGTCTTCTTCGAGCTTCTGTAAAGTGCTTTTTCGGAATGGATAGGCTACGCGACGCCGGGCAAGTTGAACCTGGCCCTGAAAACCCGTAGTTTGGCCCTTCTGGAATTTAAGGCATTCACCCTGAAGCTCCTTGATAATTTGATTACAGTTTTGAACTGCAGTGTTGACAGTTTGGTGTAGCTCTTGTTCGTCGGTTCGAGATCGGCGCTCTTGTATTGCGACATGCAGAGATCGGAAGATACTCAGAAGATCTTCAAGATTCCGCACAATATTGACTACATCAGTAGCTTGTTCCTTGACCGAAGAGTAAAATTCAGTTAAAGATTGGGTAACTTGGATTCCAAGAGAGAGCAATCCTGCAACTCCAGCAGCAATTGATAGTGGATCGGCCATAGTAACAAGTCCGTAGCACGTTACTGAGGGATGATAATGTAGGTAAGTTTAATGATCAGAACCTGCAATTGTTGCGATGTCAGAAGGCAACTTTTTGTGTCATTCGATGTGTGTAAACTACCTAAGCATCCGGAGTACCTACGAGGGGGCCTCCAAGGGAGAGCTCGAATACAGCGGTAAAAGCAGGCAGTGTACACAAGCCTTGTATTCTGCAAGTATTAAAGCTATTGTCGATCACAGTTTGTGTGGTCTGGTTGGTTCCAAGATAGCATTAAGATTGCCACTGGTACGGTGGAGTGGTGTGGGAATGATGAAAGCTCAATGATTGCGGGCGTTTAGTAATTAATAGTTGGCGTTTCTGTGGAAAATTCTGTTTACTTACCACAGGTCGCTCATACATCTATGAGACACAAGTATGTAATTTATCTTAGTAACTCTCTGTATTGGTGGTAAATGGGAAAATTGATACTCCGGTGAATATCCAAATTAGGAGTAAGTCTTCTTGGCACCAACTTAGACAAAAGAAAGTGACAGAGTGTAGGTGGTGACACCAATTTTCGGAAGTACTATAGCAGCTCGGACCTATATAGAGAACTACTGGCTTAGATTTGGTGCCTATGAAAGCTGGCATAAAAGTGGGTATGCTATAAAGGATGTTTTTCTACGTTGGTAGGATGAAATAATTCTTACATTAGACTTAGGGGGTGCCTAGGTATTAGGAAATTCACTTGATAGAGTAGAGTACGTTCCCTAGCTAATTATATATTTTATTTCTTTTTATTTATTAAAAAGATAAACGAATTAATTTCTTTTATTCTTTTTAAAATTAGATTTCTACAATAATCAATTATTTAATTACTAGCTATAAATCTTCGATTGTTTTACGTTACCGTACCTATTTAATAACCGTAAATAATAGGCCCTTTCTATTAACGGACCTAAGTTTTATAAGAGTCCCTACTATCTATATATTCTATATAAACGTCTCTACTCCTAAAGTACCTCTAGATATTAAAGCAACGCGTTTAATAGCTACTATTAAGGCTACTAGGTCTAAGAATATCGTTTCGAAAGGAAAGTCGATATAGTAAAAATAATACCGTTATAAAAGGAGTCTAATAAAAAAGGTATATAAATATAGTAGGATATATAGCGTAGAATTACGCGATTTATTTTATAACCTCGGTAGAAATACGGTATAATATCGTAACTATATATAGTATCTCTACTATAGTAGAACTTAACCTTAGTAGAATTACGTAATTTATTTTATAACCTTAATAAGGATATAGTATAATCTCGGAACCGTAGGTAGTATCTTAACTATAGTAGAACTTAACTTTAGTAGAGTTATACAATTTATTTTATAACCTCGGTAGAAGTACGTAATTTCTCTATAGTTACTTCGGTTAACGTACGCTTAATTTCTACTAAATATACTACTTAAGTAAAGTAACTTTACTTAATATTTATAATATAACTAAACTCTTTATCTTCCTATTTCTATCCCTCCTTATCTTTCTATTACTACTATATCTAAGCGGGAGCCTAGTATTTATATTAACTTTAATATAATAATACTTATCGAATATAATACCCCTATTTAGAGTTTATAGAAGAAGTATATTAAGATAACTACCTTTACTAATAGCCCTATTTATAAGAGCCTAAAGCACTTAATTATTCTAGAGGAAGTACCCTATCGGGTTTACTTTTAGAATAGCCTTATATAGGAACTTCTCTCTAAGTAGGCTATTATTATACTTAGCTCTTTAATTATTAAAGAGCGAAGCGGAGATTTACCTAAGCTATCTTTATACGCGGAGTCTATTATATTATATATATTTAATAATATATAAAATTTTTATAACCGACTAATATAAATTATTAAAGGTTTCCTAGTAACCTTATAGTTAATAATTCCTATTATAATAGGCTACCCCTAATATAATCCCTAAAGCTTAATACTATTAGCTTAGTAACCGGTAAGATAATAGATCCTTTTAGCTATCGTATCTTTATATTACGCTAAACTATCTACTATTCTCTTAAAGAGAATATCTCGCTAAAGTACTCGACTTTCCGGATTACTATTACCTTACCTAAGGTAGGCCGCTTTACTAGAGCCCTAATATCTCGCGTTAAGAAGTAGGTTTTTACTTCTAGTAAATTTATAGGCTTTTACCCGATTAAGGGTACTTAGGTTATATATATTATAGTAACGTACTATAGTTTCTTACCTAGCGGTAGACCTATATCTAACTCTACCGCTAAAACCTAGGCTAGAGCTACCCTATATTCTTAGAAATTATAGAAAAGGCTATAGATATAGGAAGACCGGAGTAATAGTTATAAACCTTCCCTAGCTATTCCTAGAGGGCGTTTCTACGATATAATCCCCCCTAATCTAGGCCCTAAGAGTACCCTTATTACTAAAGACCGACTATCCTAAATAAATACCCCTACCTAAGGTTTATTACCCGATCCCCCTACCTAAGAAATTAATAAGAGAAGGGGAAGTAAGTATATACGAGGTAACTAAATATATATACTTAAATAAAATTATTAGATAGCCTTAGGGACTTATATAATCTAGCTTTTACCTTTCTATCTATATTTTCTCCTTATATACTTTATTTATTTAGGCTAGGTAGATTATATAGGCTATATAGGCTATTTTATTATTTTGTTTATATACTATTTCTTTGCTTTCTTATACGTTATAGTTAATATACTATTATACTACTAATATTGATATTAAATATAGGTACTCTAAAACGACCCCTTTAGTCTATTATAGAGAGAGAAGGGGATAGGGCTAAGACTAAAAAATCAAAGAAGAAGTACGTTAAGAAGCGTAAGTCAAAGGGAGGGATCTCCGATAAGGAATCAAATTAAAATAGAGGATTAAACGTTAACTAGACAGAGAGACTATAAAGCTTTATATATAATAAATAACGGAAACCGAAATTGGAAAATATAGAGGATTGAGCGACAACTAGACAGAGAAAGTATAAATTTTTAAACGCGAACTAGATAGACGGAATATAAAGCTTTATTTATAATAAATAGAGCAATTCGAAATCCGACATTCGACTACAGGCGCGCGCGATGCGCGCGCCCTTACGACTTGTTGTACTGTACTTTTGATACATTGTATTTTTGCGTAACATATGTTTATAGTCCTTTGGGAATCCCACCCCAAAATCTCCCGCGACATCGTGACTATCACGGAGAAACACATATTGTTCTTTGTCGGTACGTCCTACGAAATTTTCAATTTGATGGTTTTCAATTTTTACAGAGTTTAATCTTACTATTGTGGTTCGCATACAACAAACATTGGTCCCTTATTTCTGCCACTTATGATGACACGAAACCCCGTATAGCCCCCAGTGAAAAAAAAAAGAAAACCGTCGGAGAGATAAAAACTGAATGGATTCGGACTGAAGCATTCGATCATGTCCATGTTGGTGAATCGTAGCAGCTACTCAACTCCTACCCACGACTTGCTGAGCTTCCACAACTTTGTTTCCTTTACCTCATGAAATGCCCAACTGCCGTATCCATATTCAAGTGCATCCCCACCAGAAGGAGTCGGATGAGCTACCATAGATGCTCCTTCCAAGTAAAATCCGCCTTTCCCTTCTAGTTCGCTCGACACAGAGCCATAGATAGTCGTTGCGCAAGCCTGTCCGAGACTAGATAAATACGCTAGGGCGCGCTTGTCCTGCATCACTGCTTTCATTTCTTCCTCGGAGTGTTTCTGGAGGTTAGGGCTGATGAAGGCTCCTGGATGTACACTATAGCCATGAAGACCTTGAGCTCCGAATAAGCGCTCGATTTGGGTAGTCATATATATATTGGCCGTCTTACTAGATCCATAAGCAAGCCAACCATTATAGTTTCCTTCAAAGTTAACATTGTCCAGATCAATAGGACTATAACGGTGGCCGGCCGAGGAAACGCTGACAACACGGGAATGGAACGTAGGCGTCGAGGTTTCCAGCAAAGTATCTTTCAGGAGATAGAAGAGGAGAAAATGAGAGAGGTGGTTTGTTCCGAACTGTAGCTCAAAGCCATCTTTCGTACGGGCTTCCGGGGTTTTCATCACCTATAACCATAAAAGTCAGCTAGTACTATTATAGAGTTGGGTTGTAACTACTTACCGCCGCATTGTTGATGATGATATTGAGCTTAGAGCTTTGTTTAAGAAACTCCTGAGCACATGCCCGAACGCTCGAAAGATCTGTCTGGTCCATAAAAAGAACCTTGACACGCCCAGTGTCGAGTAGCTCGCCCAAAGCCTCCTTAGCCTTTTCAAGGTTTCGGGCTGTGCCAAAGATGGTCGCTCCGGTAGATGCCAAGACGCGCACAGTCTCAACACCAATTCCAGATGAAACGCCGGTAATCAGAACAACCTTACTGCCCCATTGGTCAACCAGACCTTCATCTTGGATGATTTGATTTCCCGTCACACGCGAGTCGCCTGGGCCGTTGAGAACTTCCCACCGATTTCGGTCGGCATACCGGCCGGAGAGCTGAAAGGGGACTGAGGAAACCATCGACATGTCGGTGAAAATAGTAATGATCAAGGTTCGAATAAACGATTGAAGCTCTTATCTCAACAAGTTCGGTGCAACTTTGAACACTATCTTAGGACAACGGTGGACGTGTGCTTTAAGGATGGTGAGAACAAAGAAACACCGAGTCATGTGGGCATCACTAAATCAGATGGAGCTTAGTCCACCTCCACTCTTGGTTTCCCAATTAGGGAATGGACGCAATTCAATAAGGAGACATGCATGATGTGCTGGCGCTAAAAATTACCTGACATTCCGATTCGCCGGTAGAAAATATCGCTCCTCGATGTGATCGGTATTCACCAAATGTGGGTTCAGTAGAATCCGTAGGTCTCGCAATAGCACTGATTAGAAATTGGATATCTACTCATGGTTATTTGCAGCTGGCAATATAATTGTCGAAGGTCCGAGAACGAATTACATCGCTGGACTTATAGTTGTTATTATCCGGTGTCTAAGTGAGACTCGGGGAGTTTCCGGATTGGCAAACGATTGGAAACCGTGTCCGCACGCAAGGTTCATCCTTCGTAGTCTTACATGCATGTAAAGTACCTCAGCCTGCTAGGTGCGTCTTCTACTACTGTAGATAGGACGTATTTGATCTATATATATATATATATATACGTAAGCGACAAGGTTTCTTCGTCGGTTCAGACTCAGGACTTATTGGCATCCTTTTTTTTTTTTTTTTTTTTCCGTACTCGAAGCATGACAATTCCTAACGCCAGAATGAGTAAAAACACATATATACAGCTTAGGGGGTGAAACCAAAAGATAGCAGATCAGGGGAGAACAAATGCGGCGCTGAAACAAGGGACCTGGAGAGTGTGGAGCCTTTCGTATATCAATACCTACTTAGGTATGAGCTTGTATGAGCTTGGCTAACATTGAACCCTGCAGATGGAAGGCGACACGTCATGTGGCGTCCAATCGGTCTATAAGTTTGCTAGCCGCCCCATCAGAAGGCCCCAACAAACAAAAGTTGGAGCCATCTCTCCATCTCTCTACCCATCCAATCAAGGATGCCCCCTTCCTCACCATCGCCCCAACCCCTTATGGGTCCTGAAACGAGTCCACCCATCAACGATCGAACTCGCGATCAAAGCATGGCAGCGGGGCCCTACAGATCTCCAGATGGGCCTGAGTGCAACGATAGCAGGAAAGATCAGGATCCAGCCGATTACCCTGTAATCAATAACATCGACCGAGCTCAAGAGCAAACCTTTCTTACAGGCAGCAGGCTCCATCTCGTGTCGACTGCCTTTGGCATAGCCAATATTATGGTCGCCTTAGATAGCAGTATTCTTGGTAGGTGGAAGCATGCCTCACCTCATCCACCTCCAAGGCCCAGGGCGTGAGACTCATGTTTTCCTTTAGCGACCGCGCTACCCACCATAAGTTCCACTTTAGGATCCACCAATGATATTGGATGGTATGGCAGTAGCTATCTGCTCGCTCAAATGGCGTCGCAGCCAATTTGGGGAAAGATCTACACTTGCTTTGAACCCAAGCGGACCTATCTTTTATCCTTGGTGATATTCGCGGTGGGTTCGATACTTTGTGCAGTATCTCCCATATCGGCTTGCCTCATCTTAGGCCGCTCTGTTACTGGCCTTGGAGCCTCTGGGCTGCTGGCAGGAAGTCTGTGAGTACATTGTGTCACCATATCACGTTGCCCACTCCAGCCTTGTTTCGATTGGGATCTAACATATTACCAGTTCTATCTTTGGCCAGGTTGTGCCACTAAGGCAACGGCCCCAGGGTATGGCATTGATGGTCAGCATTAGCAACATTGCCTCGATGATGGGAAGTACCATTGGAGGTATCATCACCGATTCTGTTCTGACTTGGCGGTTCTGTTTTTGGATTAACATCCGTAAGCATGCCCAGAGGCATCCATATACTGATATCCAAGCCACTAACTTGTGAATAAGCCCTTGTGATTGGCTGCGCTGTGGTTGTAGCGTTAGTCTTGAAACGCAAGCCACATCCTGATCAAAAGCTTCCTCTGAGTGACAAGCTACAGAGAATTGATTTGTTCAGCTTTGTGCTGCTATCATCGAGCTTAAGCTGCCTGTTCCTGGCCTTTGAATGGGGAGGTCTATCAGTCTCCTGGTCAAACCAGAAAGCATGGGGTTGTTTACTAGGCTTTGCCCTTCTAGGTATTGTCTTGGTTGTTGTACAGGCGTATAAAGGTGACAAGTCAGTGTAGCCCCCATATTACACTGAGTGGATCGTAAAAATCTGACAAGCAAATTTCCATCAGAGCCGTGATCAATTTGAAGTTCATGCGCCAACGTACCATAGTGGTGTGCTATCTATTCTCGTTTTTCTACGGTCTGGCTATCTCTACACATCAATGGTTACTACCGACATATCTGCAGGGTATCCACTATACCTCAGCCGCCCTTTCCGGTGTAATATGCTTAGCATTCTCCGTTCCAATGACCATCTTCGGTTTATCCACGGGCTTTTTCACCACGCGATTTGGTTACTATGTTCCATTCATGTGGGTTGGGTCTGTGCTGTACGTCGTGGGAAGTGTACTACTGTTCCGACTGGATGCAGATAGTAGCCCTGGTCATTACGTGGGTTACCAGATCCTAGCTGGTGCAGGCTGCGGAATGGCTATCCAAGTTACCTTTATCGCTGTACAAGTCGTCGTGTCGCCTCATGATATGGCCCATGCTTGCAACATGGAGGTGCTTTTCCGCCAACTTGGGAGCTCTATTGCTATTAGTTTGGCCGAGAATATTTTCTTGTCCAGCGTAAACTCGCCCCTTGCGAAAATTGTGCCTGGGGAAAGTTCATCTATTCTAACTACCGGGATCCGTGCATTCGTGCAGATCGCAAAAAACCTTCCCGCACACAAGCAGATGGAGGTAAAAACCCTCCTAGATTACGGTATTTCGCAGGCTTTTATTCTACCTCTCGTGGCGACTTCAGCTGCGGCAATCGCCAGCTGGGCAATGGACTGGAGAAAGATCGAGGAGGACAGGGAGGCCCCTGTTCTCATGGAAATGGGTTGAGTGCCTTAGCTGACACTGGATTCTATCTTATATTGCTATATTCAAGTCCAAGAGTGAATTACTGTCGCCGTTAAATTGTCTCAACTGTGCTGTATGTGGCGATTAACGATGAATCTTCAATTTGGATTGGTGGTTGCCTGAACGCGCACCGGGGGTTATGTGGGATGAATGCATCACTGAAACAGAACGGGTAATTTAAATTGAGTACAGATATTAAACTTTTGCACTCATTCATCTTTTCGTTACGTTCTCAAACAGTATTTCTATAAACCTTGAAAGCGTTTCTGTGGCTAAAGGCGCTAATTGAACTTGTAGTTTTACGTCTTGGAACACATGCGTCCAGAATCGCTTTAGCTACATGGAAGAAGGCTTTACTCATTGGCTAGTTTCAGGCCTATCTCCCTAATCTGTCAAGTGTACCTATATTTCGGCGCCGGGGTGTTCGGGGTTGCCCGTGGACCTATACGTTTGGAGTCAACGTGAATCTCATCCTTCTCCGACCCCATAGGCAGCCCAAGTGGGGGCTCAAAACTCTTGTTCATACCCAATTGTGGTGTGATGGTAAGCCTTGCATATCAACCAATGCACGTGGCTGATAGGGCCGCAGCAAGTGAGAACCTTTGAAAGTGGACGTACTTTGTAATCATTTTGTATGTTACACTGCAGGCCTCGCTTATCTGTTAATTACGGGGCCAGATTTATAAGTCCATTTCGATGGTATCCGGCTTCAATCCACGTCATGGCGTTGCAAGGATAATACAAGGGATATCCATGATGTATGATCCATGCTCAAAGATGGGGCAATGAAATTCGTGAAATTCTCATTTTTCTTTTCAGGGCATACTACGGATAGGTATCCACCTAATTCCTTGAGTTTGGGTTTTCATTTTCATTGATTTTCTCAGGCCAACTCATATTGACATTCATTCTGTGGCCCATTATATAGTCCCAGCGAAGATTCAAGTCTCAGGATGATAAAGTCCACGGAGTTTCTCATACGACGGCAATCGGGGAAGTTGCATAGATTACTGCGGGTTCCAGCCACGCGGCACTTTGAAACTTGCGTCCCAGGCTCAACGTCAGGGTCCCACAAGCCAGTCTATCGGACGTGGAAGAACTTGCCCTTCTTCAGGACCCATTCAATCTACCAACCAAGGTTCCACAACCATTTGCTACGCGGCATATAAAGATCGTCACTTTGGATACCCTTTACTGTCCAGCTTCGAAGTTCGAGCTTCCTTACCCTTACACCTCCGAGCTACAATCATACCTAAGCACTGCACAAGATGAGATAGCTAGTCGTATTCAGGACGCCGATATTGATATATGCACGGGTGTCCGTATGTCAAAAGAAGTGTTGGGCGAATCTGTGTCTCCAAGGCTTAAAGTGATCGCGGTAGTCGTATCAGGAACCGACCATATCAACATGGACATGTGCAAGGTACGTGGGATTCATGTGGCTAACTCGCCGACTTGCAATTCCATTGCAGTTGCAGAGCATGCTATTGGTTTTTACTTCTCCGTCAGATGCTCTATTGTTATGTCAAATAGACTGGTGAGATCTGGATCATGGGGTAAACATGGAAGGCATACAACAGCTATTCTCAAGTCATTGAGAGATCCAGAAGGCAAAGCTCCAAGGATATGCTCTGAGGAGGTTGTCGTCATTATCTGGTACGGTGAAGTTGGACAGCAAATAGCTATTAGAGCTCAATTATTGGGGATGAAAGTCCTGGTGTCGGGGAGAAAGGGAGCACCAAACAACGCACATGCCGCACGCGTCCCATTCGAGACTGTTCTGCGCAACTCTTCTGTTGTTTTCGTGACCTTCCCACGCGTCCGCGAAACAATGAAACTGATCTCCCATACCGAGTTTGGTCTCGTGCCTCGTCACGCAATTCTAATCAATATCTCACGAGGAGGAATAGTTGACGAGGGGGCTTTAATAATGGCTTTGAAGGCGAGGCAGATTGCAGGGGCCGCGACTGATGTCTTCCTGCATGAACCCGCCAGCCTGGAAAATAGTGTGCTACTATGTACTGGAACTGAAGATTTGAATTTGGTAGTCACACCTCATTCTGCGTGGTTCACAAAAAACACTCGTCTAAATTTCATGGCATGCCTCCAGAAGAACATTGTCAGCTGGGTGGAGCGTAAACCATGCAACTTGGTTGTCTAAAGAAAGGCTTATCCTCCGTTGTTTCTTGTTAAAATTGACCTCTCTAATAATTTCGCATCTTCTTCGGCTTCGGCTTCGTCTTCGACTTACATTGAAGTCTCGTCTCCTGCAGCAAGAATTGAGTGTTCGCCTCCAACTTACTCTTGTCACTAGCGAGGGATTTTGAACCTTGGTCCTCGTTTCTTAGATTCTTAAATTACATAGTAAGCAATTGAATACGAAGATTGGTCCTTGCAGCTGTAAATTCGATGCGTTTGTCATGCAAGGAAAGATGAAATGCCTAGGTACGGAATTCTAGTGGGAAACCATGCAATCTACTGGGACTTGCAAGCCCCGCCGACTTGGGGCTCGCTCTCAAGGACCTCATCATATTTCGAACTGTGGTGTCCTGAACTGTGGTGTTCCGTGCCATGGTGTCCCCAGCCGTGGCCATGTTTCCGCCCGTGACCCCTAGCGATTCCACTAACAACACTGCTTGGAATGGCGCTCGGGGTGTCAGTGGGGACTTCGCTCACCGCGGGAACTCCACTTGGGGTGTTGGGTGTATAAATAGTAGTCGCGGCCGGAATTTCACTGTCTGATCCACTTGCGGTCGCATCCACGATGTCACTGGCCGTGGAGCTAGTAACAGACGTTGCGATTTCGATCACAGAACTACTCCAAGTGTTCCCAGATCCGCCTCCGATCACGGCAACGCTCCCACTTATAATCTCGGCTGCTTGCTCGGTAGTTTGACTTGCAAGTTCGGTGGTGGTTGCACTTGAAGCGGCTTCAGAACTCTGCCTTGGGGCTTTGACCGTTGTCTCACTCGAAGCGGCCTTGATGGCTGCACTGGCACCCTCGCTAATGGCGACCTTTGCGGTCGCGCTGGTGGTGACACTAGCAGCCGTGGTTGTCGAGGAATCATTTGTACCATCGAGGCCCACGCAAGCAATGCTCATCTTTTTGCCAGTCGCCGAGGATGAAGAGTCATCAATGGACTGTGAGAGGTCCCAAGTCATATTGACATAGGGCCAGCAGATTCTACCATCTGAAATAGTCACCATGTCACCAGCAATGTAAACATCGTCGACGCTGAAAGCTTCACCAACCTTGGAGCCGGTGGAGTCGACTTGCTGGAAGAAAGTTCCAGCAAAGGTACCCCGACATCCCATGGCAATGAAGTCACAAGTCGGGTTCGAGATTTCCTCCCAGGTGACGAGGGCATTGCTACTTCCAAAGGCGGCAGCGTGAGCATTTGAGCAATCGTTCGATCCAGAGGTCACCCAGTTGACTTGGCTATCTCCATCCTCGGTTCCGACCTCAGACGTAGCCTCGGCACCAACCTTGGTATACTTATCAGAGAAAAGCGATATAGCAACATTGCGACCGTTCGTGCGGTTCTGCACGTTCGTGTAGCCCGTTCCCATCCACGCGTTCTCTGTCACATCAATCGCGCCGCGGGAAACCCAGGCGAAGATATACTTGGTGGTATCGGCAAACCGAGCCAACGCACTGTAGCTACCAGACATACCACCCATAGGCTCACCAGATGCGCCGTTTGTAGTGTTCTCGTTGGAAATTTTGACTCCGTCGGTAGACATCCCTTGCGTCTTGGTGTTCAACCAGATCGCGCCCTGATCTTCGGCGCAAATACCAGCGAAGGGGGCGTCGTCGGCTGCTTCGAATGCAATGCCGGTGTTGTGGCTGCAACCCCATGCACTACTAGCACCAGTGATTGTCTCTAATTTTCCGCTGGCCGAGACGTACTCCACACTGTCACCGAAATGGCCCGATGCGTCGCCGGAGTAATCAGTGACGACAAAGTATGCACCGTAGAGCTCTGCACTCTCGGAGTAGACGAGGTCGCCGTTCATGTCAGGAGAGGCGGAAAGTCCTTCGGACTCGTGTACGCCCGGTCCACCCAGCCAAGTCTTCCATGTCTGTTTTCCTGAGGTGTAGCGGTAGAGCACGGGAACAGGGGTATCGCTCGGTGGTGCATTGGTGGTGCCAGAGGGCATGGCCTCGTTGGTGAGAAGGGCAAATCCATCATTGTGAGCCACAAGACCTCCAGCTATACCATGCATTAGTGGTCCCTCTTTTTTTCATTGGCTATGGGCAAGCGGGCAACACACCTTCCTTTCCACCAGAGACGGTCACAGTTGTACCAGTAGCAGCAAAGGTGGTAGGATCCAGCTGCTGCACATGAACATCTGTGGCACTGGAGTCAAGATAGGCAATATACGCTGATTTCCCATCGGGCGACACCGCAAAGGGAGTACGACGGTGGTGGGGATATCCAGTCCAGTACGCCGCCTTGACGGGGTTAAAGGCGTAGTCGAGTGCCAGCACATCGACGTGAGTCTTGAGGTTAGACTGAGAAATGGCAGCGCTGGCGCCCAGCGCCGCAGAAAGCAAAGAAAGAATGAAAGTCCCACGCATGTTGGGGTGGTCGGTATTACTATCTATCGGCCCTGTCTCATGACGGATCGGCGCTCTTTAATACCCCATTTCTTCGGGGAACTTCTTGAAGGCCAATTCACACTGAGAAATCAGGGGTGTCATCCTTATGCCAAGTGGGTTGTGAAAGTGGATAGATTGGCACACCCCTGTCTGGTTTATAGTAGTTCTGAACGGAACGGGGCCTTCATCCGGCACACAGTGTTTCAGCCTCGTTCTTCCGAACCTCCTGTAACTCCACGTCTTTAATTTCTCATCAAGCCGGACCATCCCACCAGGACAGAGAAAATTATCGAAAATTATCCACGAGTCAAGTTAATGCTTCGGTGAAACAGCCAGTCTCAAGGGGCATACAAAGTACTCATAATTGTCGATACTACTCCGTACTTCGTATACAACACCCTCTTGATGCATACTTGCATACTTGGATCTTAGTGCACGGCCTCTACCATAAGTATAGCCAGTAGGTCATAACTTTGAGTTTGAACAACTTTGCTGAGGACTGAGCTGTTCCAACTCATTGGGTATACCAGTACCAGAGAGCATGCTGCCGCGACAACTCATTGATCCATACTCGTGAAATTGGATCGTCACCTGATTTATGTAAGTTGCAAACCCGGACCACCTAGGCAGCTCCTAAGGGGTGTTCCTCTTTGACCGCAGTAGAGTTCGTGAAGCCTGGTTGGATGAGCCCTGGGGCTTCGGGACCTCTCGGGAGGTTTATTCCGGCTGACTTAGCAACCCTTTGGAGCCCCACCTGCCAATCTTGGAAGTGCCGTGGTGACAACTGGATTAGTCATCCATTATTTGCAAACCACCTGGGCAGCAAAAGAAATGCCTTTATGAATCATTTCATATATACTATTATCATATTATCCATACCTAGGTAGTGTAAATATGACTTTCAATTTCAAGTACATTGTGGGTGTAGAAATAATGAATGCTTACTACTCTTTTGAAAACAAACCCTTTAGTTAACTTGTTTCACCCATAACCCTGCAGTTTTCAATCGCTCGTTACTCTACCAAAATAGCTCGAAGTACTCTAAAAAAGAACGTATTATGCATTATAAAATTAGAAGGGCTTTCCTAAAGTATCAAAGCTGTGTTTTTAGATCATAGAGTACCAATGGCATTAATTGGATTTTCCTTTGCCGAACCCAGGTGTACTGCCCAAAAAGTGGATTCAGAGAGGTATAGGAGTGTGTATTCTTAATTCATGTCTATCTGCTGCTTGTAAACCTCATAACCCAACGCTTACCTAACAAACTCATAGAAAATAAGAAAAAGGAGGCGAGCGCAATATGTAGTGGAGAGCCTATCTCCCCACTAAAATATATATATATCAAATCTATCTACTCCAACCTCTCCAAACTCTGCAACTTCACCAATTCAAAATACCTCCCCCCAAGCTCCATCAACTCTTTGTGCGTCCCTTGTTCCACAACATTGCCTTCATGCAGCACTAGCATAGGTTAGTCTCTACCGCTATAAAATGAAATATGGGTTTCTTACCATAAATACAATCGGCTTTCTGCACCGTGCTTATCCGATGCGCGACGGCAACCGTCGTTCGGCCTTGAGCCGCCGCATTGAGAGCATCCTGGACAACCGTTTCAGACTCAGAGTCGAGTGCAGATGTGGCCTCATCTAGGAGGAGGATACGTGGATCACGAAGAAGTGCTCGCGCGATGGCTATTCGTTGTTGCTGGCCGCCAGACAGCATGCCACCCCTCGCTCCTATGAGCGTCGAGAAACCGTCACTGAGTCGAGTGTTAGTAGATATTCATCTCAAAGCAATCAGAAAATATAGAACAAACATAACCGAGAGAAACATGCAAGGGTGTAGGGATGAGGGGTGGCTTACGGCAGAGATTGGATGAAATCGTAGATATTCGCATCCTTGCATGCTTTGGTGATTTTCTCCTCGGAAACGTCCTCGTCATCGGTCCCCAGGGTAATATTCTCCCTGATGGTTCCTTGATATAGTGTCGGCTCTTGGCTAACTAGCGCAAGGTGATTCCTGTAGCTTTTGACATTCAACCCCGAAATATCTTTTCCATCTACCAATATCTGTCCCTCTTCAGGATCAAAGAACCGCTCCAGCAAGGCAATGAGGGTGCTCTTCCCACACCCACTCGCCCCCACAAGACCTATGTATTGTCCCGGTGAAACACTCAAGCTGAGGCCGTTTACAACCACCCTCTCTGGTCTGTTGGGATATCGGAAATAGATATTTCGCATCTCCAAGCTGCCATCAATTTTGGCTAACAGCTCGCCAGTTTCTTGACGCGCATCAATGTTGACAGGTCTGTTCAACAACGTTTTGATATCCTGGGCCGCCTGGCGAGATTTGCTCATATCGGGCGCGAAGGAGAAAATGGCGCCAGCGCTGAATGCGCCTACGACAATAGCTGCATAAGCGATGAAAAACTGGACCATTGAATACCCTTCGTGGATAATTAGACTTCCTCCATACCAAAAGGCTAGCGCAATGCAGAGGAAGTTAGCTGACTGTGACGCTGCATAAAACGTTGATGATTTTAGCGTTGAAACAACCGACTTTTGTCGCTGTGCTTCCAATATGTTGTGATACTCTTCTAGTACATGGCTTTCGAGGTTCAACGATGCAACCGTCATGATAGCAGAACTTGCCTCACATGCATAAGTTGCTGAAGCTGCATACACAGCCTTCGACTGTCGAGCTATTTCACCGAGGATCTTGAGTCGGACGAGACCACAAGTAAGAACAATTGGAATGGTTGCGGTACAAACAAGCCCAAGCTTCCAACCTATCACAATCGATACAGCAATACCTGCAACCAAAGTCGTTGAGACAATAAAGATGGACCCTAGTGTTACACCACTCATGCCCGCAAGGTTGGTGGCATCTGTGGATAACGAGGATGTAAGAGAACCGGCCGAGAAAGCAGCTTTGTCGAACATGAAAATATCCTGATGGAGAATTGCTCGAAAAGAACGATCTCTGGCACGGTGAATCAGTCGCTCGGAGCAGTAGGCGAAACAGAGACCCGATACTCCCCAGCCTAGGAATGCAGTACCTCCCAGCATCAAATACATTGCACTCCAGAAGTTGACATCATGGCGTAACTTCCCATACATATTAGGGGGTAACGACATTGCTGCAATTGTCTTACCGTAGAACACAGCCTGTCTAGGGGAATGGTCAGCATCAATATTCTGCGTAGCGGGTGGGAGGGAGTTTTACGTGGGATTTCCAGCGCCTGTGACGATTGAGAAAAGCAGACCACAAACCATTGTAAGCGTCTCTTCCTTGTTGAAGTTGGCGACGAACTTGATTAACGTCCATAACGAGTATTCACAGTCACCAGCCTTCCCCTCGGGATCTCTCCTGGGGTCTTTGGTTCCCCAGTGCTGCCCTATATTGTACGTGAAGTTGTTGGACTCATTGACCTCATCTTTCAAGTCAGGAAACTCGGGACCTGGGTCAAGGGGAGAGTTTGCATCGCCGGCGACGATACTCCTTTCAGTCGACATGCGCTGCTTCTCCACTAATTCGTAATACACCGATCGTTTCTCAAGTAGCTCGTTGTGGGTTCCTTGCTCAACAACACGTCCGTGAGACATGACAACAATGTTGTCCGCCGCTGTGATAGTGGATAGTCTGATTCATAATGAGTTTGTAACTCTTAAGAGTAATAGAACACCTACCGGTGACTGATGGTGATCGTTGTCCGACCCTTAGCGGCAACATCAAGCGCCGCCTGTACCAGCCCCTCGGCCTGGGCATCTAGAGCTGAGGTAGCCTCATCCAACAACAAAACCTTCGGATTGCTAATAATAGCCCGTGCAATGGCAACTCGCTGTTTTTGTCCACCCGAGAGTAATGAGCCCCGTTCACCAACACTGGTATGGAATCCTTCCGGCAAGGCGGAAATGAATTCTAAACAGTTCGCGTTCTTTGCGGCGTCAAACACAAGTTTTTCCAACACATCATGAGGGGGGTTTTCGTGTTCAGTGCCTATCAGACCAAATCTGATGTTTTCGAATACAGTTGTAGCGAAGAGCGTGGGCTCTTGCGTGACAATCGCTATTTGTTGGCGTAACCATTGCAAATTTAGAGATGTGATGTCGTGGCCATCGAGCACTATCATGCCATCATTAGCACCGTCTGTCTTTCACGAGAAAAGGACCCACGTATTTGGCCACTTATTGGCTCGTAAAACCTTTCAATCAGACCTGCCAATGTACTTTTCCCACAGCCAGAAGGACCAACGATGGCAGTCGTCTTTCCAGCTGTAAATAGAAGATTTACCCCATCTAAAGTCAGGACATCTGGTCTAGAGGGGTAAACATGGCGAATGCCTTTGAGTTCTATTGTCCCTGATGCGGCTTGTAGCTTGCTTCCTGTGGAGGATGATGGATCCAGCGGTGACTCCCTAGACACGGTTGCAAGAATCTTTCCTGTTGCTGCAACGCCGGTTGCAAACGCTTGGAAATTGGGTGTTATGTTACCAAACGTGAACGCTCCAGTCAGCGTAGCAAGGAGAATGGTTATAAGGGCTCCCAATTCAATATCGCCAACTACAAGATAACGAGACCCTTGCCAAAACGTCAGTCCGTAGGTTAGGAATATGACACCATTCATTATGGCCATCATGACCGCAAGGGCAATGCGACTTCTCAGACCATAGGCCTCGGCCTTGGTCAGAAACTTCTGATACCGATCGGCCAGCTTGTCTTGGATCCCAAATGCAGTGACGTGTCTGATTGAACTGATAGCCTCTTCGGCAGCTGTTGATCCGTCTGCATATGCTGATAAAGACATGTGGGTATACTTGACCATGAACGAAGAGCATACACTCATAGATCCAGTTTCCGCCACGATGGCGGATATCAGAATAAGAGCCATGCGCCAGCTTTTCACAAAGCTAATGATGAAAGCTGCCCCAAAAGTGGAACAGGAGTATAAAGTCAGAGAAAGTTTGCCTGTCAAAGAATCTTGGATCAGATTCATATCAGCAGTAATTCTGGTTGTGATTTCTCCAGCCCCCAGCACATCAAAAAATGCGATGTTTTGGCGGAGGATGGCGGCGAGATATCTCTCCCGAAGTCGTTGAGTTATATTTTCCCCTCCTATCATGAATCCAACGGTCGAGATGTATACCGAAAAAAACTGTCCAATGGCGATGTATACATAATACAAGGCGAATCTTGCGACCAGAGATGAAAGGTGAGAGCCAGAAGATGTTCCCAGGAAGAACTCCTTGAATGCTTGGGCCAAGCCCCCGAGAAAGAGCTGTATGGTGGAGATTAGCTTGGGAGGTTGAATGTCTGTGAAGAGCTTACAAAAGATATGGGTTGAAGGGCCCCTCCAATAATCGCTGCAATTGAGCTGATGATGAGAATGAATAGTTCATAGCTTGTTGCACATGTGTATAAAAGTTTTAAGCGACTAGTCTGCGACTCCGAAGTATATATTTGGCGCTTGAGAATCTCTTTTTCGTGTTCTTTTAACTCCAGACTGGGTGCCACGGAGGGAGAGAGCGCGCCTGTACCTTGGTCGGACATTTCGATGGTCTGGCGCTCGAGAAGACACGGCGGTTTCGACAGTGAAAACGATTTCTCCAGAAGATTGCTCCAGTAGCATGGTGAACCAGGTGAGGTATAAGTAGTGTTGTCTTCGTTCTCTTGTCATAGTTGTCTGCCCAATCACAGGCGACACTAGCTAACTCATCGTGACTCATATTACACCATTCCCATCTGGGCATAGATGGTTCATTTTGTCCTATCATGTCTCAAAAAAATTGCAAGGTTGTTTAATAGGCCTAGATGTAAGAAAGGCAGCGAGAGTTGCGAAATCCAAGGGGAAAGTTTGTCAATCTGCAGGGATTAAGACGGAATGCTTAATCCGCAGCCAATCATGGGGGTAACGGTCGTTGGTAGATACACGGAGATAGGAATATTTATTTTACTATTAAATACTTAATTTACAAGGGTTCGTTTGTTCGTTTGTTCTTTTGTTTTTTGGTGTTCAATCTCTCAAGTGTTGCACCCGTTATATAGTGGGTTCGTACAGATGGAACGGAATATGTATGCCAGATTAACATGTTTCTAATATCTATGCTATGGATCTCTCATAGATGGTCCAATCCACCAAGGTAGATACCAATCCAAGATATCATCCCGGCCAATGTGTCTCCTGTCAACCCGTCTCAATTGGATTACCGCTTGGACACAATCTTCTGACCGTTATCAGTCATGATAGTAATTTCCTGCGCCGTAATGACCCAGCCAAATAGGCCGGCGCCCTTTGCGACACCGACAAAATGTAATCCTGAGGCGACAGGCAGCTTGCGCGTCTCGCCAGCCTCTTCAAGGGAGTCTTCTGTATACTTGGCCAGCGCAGCTGTTCTCACACGCGCAATACCAGGATGGTTGACGATGCGAACCGCCCGTGGTACCTCCGCTTCCCCCTCTGCAATGAGAACAGCGACAACAGCAGTTGCAGTCTCGGTCAGAAGAGCCACATCCATCCATCCATCGATGTGAGTAAAATCAGGTTGTATGCCTAGGAGAGGGGAGCCGAGAAGCAGGGCCCGCCCCATGGTGGCCTCCGTTTCAGTCACCTCATCCCCGACTGCGACACCACCATCGGCAACGACCTGCGTTGGACGGTGGACCGTGACATGAAGGCCGGTAATACGGGCGGCGCTTGCGAGGTAGCGCTCGGCCATAGCACCAGAGCTGAGAATGTGCAGTGCCGCCCCGGTCCGGTGGCAGAAATGCGCGAGAGCTTTCACAGTGTCGACATTCACAGGCTTAGCGGCCGTGTAACTATCCCAGAATGTTCGATTGGACGCGCAGTGTGGAACCGTGTCTACATCAAACATCTCTGAGGAGTAGTTGGTAATAGAAGACAAGTCGGCCGAGACGGTAGACACTTTATCTAGGCCGGTAAACAGGTTGGCCAAGACACGTCCATCAGCAGGTCGCACCAATGCGATGATGCGACTGACAGATTTGTCCTCTGCGAGCTGCGTGACAATGCGCTGACCAAGGTGACCAGTGGCACCTGTAACTAGGACACTTCGGCCCTGGCTGCCAGGGATACGACGCGGCGCCGCAGGACCATCGAGGTCAAGAGCCATCTCTTTGTCCCAGTCCACTGCCTCCAGACCCTCAAGCAGCGAGGCCATGCTAGCGAGGCTAGGGGCGCCCATGAGTTTGTTTAGACGAGGGGCGTCCCCGAATTCCCGCCGGATGGCAGCTTAGAGTTGAACCAGCACCAGCGAGTTACCCCCTGCGAGGAAGAAGTCCGACCGTTGGGTCAGCGTGGGGTGGGGAGGAAGCACTTGAGCCCAGAGGCTAGCAAGGCGTCGCTCAGCGGATGTGAAGTTATGTAACTGGTAGTCGACGCCCCCAGATTCCATCTGGGGTAGGGGCAGGGCCTGGACAGCGCGGCGGTCCACCTTCTGATGTGCGGTCAGTGGCATGTTATCGAGAGGCACGATAATAGCAGGGCACATGTAAGGAAGGATGACGAGAGGAAGCCGGGCTCGCAGCTTGTCAACCATCTCAGTGTCAGTAATTGCCTGCTTGCTGCCGTTGGCGTTGGCGTCAATGACGATATGAGCTGAGAGGAAGGTTTGTTGACTGTCATTCCCGTGTAGTGTCACCACAGCGTGGGTCAGGGCACCGTTGGACTCCTTGATCATAGATCGCTCAATCTTGGCTAGCTCGATACGGAAACCTCGAAGTTTGACCTGAGTGTCACCGGCGATACATGCGGGCGCTCTTGTTGCCATTATTCTTGGCGAAGGGGTCGATAATGAATGCCTGCGCCGTAAGCTCCGACTTGTTGAGATACTCGTTGCGGCCGACACCGATACCACCAAGCAAAATCTCTCCCGACACACCGATGGGTACCGGCTTCATGTTCTCATCGACAATGCAGGCAGAGTAGTTAGGGAGCAGTCGGCCCGGTACAGGAACCCGGAGGGCCGGGTCGCGGACATCGGCCTCGGCCTTCATGGCAGAGATGGTGGTCTCTGTCGGTCTGTAGCTAGTGTAAACTTTCAAGTTGGGCAGTGCCTTGGTTGCATTGCGGAACTCGTTCAGTAGTCCAGCACCTGCGTGCTAGCCGCCGAACCACGCCGCCTTCCACGACTTACAGCGGCGAATGTTCTCAGGCGCAAAGCGGAACCACATATCGTACTCGAAGGGAGTTGCTTAGGTCATCGTAACACCATGCTCGGCCATAAGGCGGGTGACCTCCAGGGGGTCACCACGGGCATCAGCTGGGACGACAAGTAGGCAGCCTCCGGTGGTCAAAGGGGCGTATATTTGCAGCAGGGAGGCGTCGAAGCTAAATGCGGCCTGTTGGAGCATCACGTTGGCGAGGTTCCCCACGTCCCATTCCCGATGGTAACCTTCGAGGTTAGCGCGCAGGTTAGCGTGCGAGACAACGATACCTTTGGCTTCATCGGTGGAACCACTGGTGAAGATGATATAGGCGGCTGCATCGGCGGTGGCATTTACCTCTCTTGACTTGGGGGGAAGAGCAGTACGAATGGGCTGCGTATTAACATTGATGAAGGCCACATTGCTGCTCGCACCAAGTTCACTAGTCCGGTAGGCGGTCTCATCATCGGTCAAAATGGCCACTGGCATAGCTGTTTTGACATTGCTTGCCAGACGATCGGTACCATTTCGAAGGTTTAAGGGTAAGTAAATAGCACCAGTACGATGAATCGCGAGCAGAGAGCAGATAAAGTCGGCCGTCGGCATCTGGAACACCGCAACAACTTGCTGCCTATCGTCGTTTGTGGACAGCTGATCTCGGATAGCGCTGGCGATGCTTTCAACCCGCTGATCCATGGCTGCGTACGTCAGGACAGCCCCCATGCCGTCTTTGATGGCGACCGAGTCGGGATGTTGCATAGTCATGTCGTCGATGCGATGGGCGACGGTCGCGGGCCATTCCAGCTTCATGTCGGAGCCTGTATAAGTCCATTTGCTTAGCCAACCCCAACAATGAAGTTAAATCTAAGAAGAACTGGGGATGAATAAAAGTGGGATCAGTATCACAAACCTTGTCCAATATCCAATGCCTTCCTGATATCATCCTGGTCCCACTTGTCCAGCTTTCCAACCTCGATCCTGTCACCCTGCTTGGCCGCTTGGGACAGTAGGTTGACGTAGCTATTCAACAACAGCTCAGCCGCATTCTGATCATACAAGGCCTTTTGGACGTGAATACGTAGGGAGGTCTCTCCAGAATCCTCCTTGATCTCCAGGACAATATCGTATCCGCTCTTTGCAGTGTGCCACGCCTCATCACTCACCTTGCACCCGGCCCAGCTCCTCTGGCCGTCATGGCTAGGGACCAGGCGGTAGTCCACAAAGATTTGGAAAACAGGGGACCACGAGTTGGAACGTGGCACTGCCAGCTCGTCCAGCATTTGGTCGAATGGCAGAGCAGAATGGGCCAACGCGCCGTACGCCTTTACACGGGCGTCAGCGACTGCCTCGCCGAATGTCTGGCGCCCGGCGGGACGGTCAAAGCGCAGAGGGAACACGTTGAGGAAATTGCCAACACTGCCCATGAAATTGCTGTCAATGCGGTTGGCGTCTGCCATACCGATCATGACCTTGTCTGTTGTGTCAGCGGGCAGCATACCCATCAATAGCGATTGCAGACCGGCAAGGTAGGCGTGGAACGAAGTGGCTCGGCATCCACGCGCAATTTGGTTCAGCTTAGCGACGACCAGGGCCGGGAGAAGCCGCTGGGCAATGTGCGTATCATATGAGTCGAGTGGAGGGCGAATATGGGTCTTAGCAAAGGGAAGTAGGTCAATGGGACGCACAAGGTCCTTGGCTGGGAGCATCTTGCGGTAGGCCTCGATTGAGGGCTTGAGCGTGCCGGTCTCGTACGTGATACGCTGCTTCTTGGAAAAGGCGCGAGCCTGACTTAAGTCAAGAAGCTGAGGGATGCGTTTATTGGGACTGTTGTATGCGCGCTCAATGTCCATCATCATGATCGTGAAGCTGTGACCGTCGAGTGATATGTGGTGAGAACCCATGAGCATATAGTGCTCCATGTCCGAGACAGAGAGCAGACGGAGTCGGACTGCGGCCCAATCGCCTAAGTCCCACTGATGCTTGTACATGGCCAGGTGTTCCGTCTCTGCCTCTCCTTCATTGGCGATTTGGGCCGTCTCGAGACGCACGACTGGCTTGGAAAGAATGCCCTGCATGGGTCTCTTCTCATCATCGTCGGACCAGTAGAATCTAGTTCGCAGGCTTTCGTGGCGCTGGGACACCGATTCGACGGCCTTGGCCATGTCCTTGATGCGAAGCTTACCTCGTAACTTTGCCATGAAGGAGATGTTGAATGTCGTCGGATCCTCAACGTAGTGGGTTAGGAACCACATGCGCTTTTGTCCATATGTCATCAACTCTGTGTGTTCGCTGGCCAAGGCGACGACCTGCTTACGCCTTTCCAAGAGAGCTTCCTGCTTCCTCTCCTCAGCCGTCATCGTGGGCTTGGGGGGCGTCCCGGGCCGTGAAAGTCCGTTCTGGCTGGCCACACTCGTTCCCGGAGTTGACACCGTCTCCGCGGGAGTCATGGTTCCCTTCCTCGACAGAGAGTATGAGGTCATAGTATCAGTCCTTGACAAAGTGGTCGAGGCCATGGCCCCACTCCTTGACGCTGATAAGGGCAAGGCAGAGGATATCTCAATTGCCTTCGGTGCGACAACAGGTGTGACAACGGGCGCGGTGAGGCAGCCGATGGGGCTAGCTTCGTGTTGGAGGTATCACCGTTACCCAGTTTGTCCTAGTCGAGGATAGAGGCGGGAATCTTGCCCATAACACTGTCTACCACAGCTTGAACTGTGGATCCGGCACCGAGAATCTGCAAAACGGGCAGATCTACTTCAACCTCCGACAAGAACCAAGTGCGGACCTCTACGGCCATGATGGAGTCTAGTCCCTGTTCGACAAAGGTCATATCCTCGTTCAACGGCTCATCTTGGGGAATCATAAGGACACGCTTGAGGCGCTCAACGAATGCGTCCTTGACAATAGACTGAGCCTCATCCCGCGATTTGGCAGACGCCAGACGGAGACGTGGGCGGGCCGACTTGCCGGAACCACCACCTCCCTAGCGAATAATGGCCGTGGCATCCGGCAGTATGAAATGGCTAAATTTGGGGTCCTCGTGCAGCTGGGCCTGGACGTTGGCGGCGTTGCGGACAGGCTTCAGGCCGCTCGCGACCTGGGACACACCAAGGTGGGCGTTCTCGGGCTTACCGGTGAGGATCGCCTCACCAAATAGCTGTAGGCAGTCTTGCTCCGAGCTGTCCCGGTAACCCATCTTGCTGAAGTGGTCCTTGTCGAGGGTTGTGGAGCGCTCAAAGGCACCCAAACCAGACATGGCGCCGAGCGCCAAGTCGGATCCCGCTACACCACGGGAATCGCGACGCTGAGCGGCCAGGGATGTCATGAAGTTGTTAGCCATAATGTAAACAGACTGGCCAGTATTTCCAGAAGCACCAACGGCGGACGTAAAGGGGATAAAGAAGTCTAGGGGCGTGTCGTAGAAGAGCTCATCGAGCAGCGTGGTGCCTTCGACCTTGGGTCCAAAAGTGCAATCGAGATCCTCATAGGTCATCTCGTCAAAGAGAGAGTCAGCAAGGACTAACGCACCATTGGTCACACCTCCGACAGCTGGCATCTCAGCAGTGACTGTTTTGTAGCACATGTATAGGGACTCACGGTCACAGACGTCGACGGTCATAACGCGGACATCAGCACCGTTTCCCGCAAGCCGCTCGATGAATTTGGGGTTCACATTGGGCCGGCAACTGCCAATGACAATATGACGGGCTCCATGAAGAACCATCCAGTTGCAGATCGACAGTCCAAGCTCACCGGCTAGACCGAAGAGCAGGTAGGTGGCGTCGGCGCAGAAGATGGTGCCATGGTCAATGGGTCGCACAAGGACATTCACGGATGCCGTGTTCCAATCGACGACGCTGAGATGAGCCTGTGTGGCTGGGTGACCAGCGACGCTCTGCAGAGGAATGACAGCGGCACCAGTATTGCGGTTTGTGTGGTGGTTCTGTTTTAGCAAAACAGACACAGTCCGGACAGCCGCCTCGAAGGCCTCGCGAACCTTCTGCACGGCGATACCTAGCTCAACATCAGGCCGGGGTCGGACGAAGTCGGCAGCAGTGCGTGTGGGAGTGTTCAAAAGGATGCATAGGGAAAGGAGCTCTGCGCTACCACATCCTGGCGCCAAGTTCACAAGGAGGGAGACGTGACCGGGGAGTATGAGAGTTTGGACCAGGCGAATCGGCAACTTAGAGTGAACGAAGACATACTGTTCTGTCGTGGCTTTGGTCTTATCAGCAGTGGTAAACATAACGTCCACTCCCTCGGCGGCGCTCTCGCGGGTCAAAGCGTCCTTGAGAACCTCATCAGCCTCATGTACTACAATAGTACCATGGCTAGATGTAGCAGCAGTGAGGATGCTCTGAGACATGAGCTGCGAAGCAATGGCGGCTAGGACTGCGCTGGTGTTGGCTGGAGCCGTGGTTGTCCGTTCGACAGGGGCGCGGGAGACAGACTCGGTCGCCGTGTCAAGGAGGGCAACTAAGGCCTCACCGGTATGGGCGTCCTGACCTGCGGCCAGGGCAAAGAACCCCGCTTGTTGGACACGGATAGAGTACAGCAGTGAGTGGTTGACATTGATAGTGGTCGTCTTCTCGGTACGGGGAATAGGCAGTACGCGTAGGGGCGAGGTGGTGGCAAGCTCAAAACGCCTTGCCATCCTCCGAGGCGTTGAGCACTACCGCCTCCTTAGTGGGGTTAACCACAGCCTGGACGGCCCTACGGCAGGTGTTATAACGATCGTTGGCCGCAGTGAACGGCAGGCACCGAGCAATAAGAATCTTATCTTTGGTGTGGTACACTTCGGATTCCATGCTCCACAGCAGGTTGACGCCATCTTCCTCCCTGAACCAGCGGTAGCCCAGCTCGAGGCGCATCAGAGACTCGGCGAGAGTTTTTGTGTTAGGCGGAACATCCGTGTCGAAGTCGAGGACCTGCATGTTGATGTTGGGTTGCTCGAAGCGGACGCAACGCGACACTCCTAAAACCATCGCAGAGTAAGGGCTATCATTTCGTGCACCACGAGTCACGTACAGGATGCTTCGACCGTTGCGCCACAGAGTCTTCAGGGCATCGAGCTTGACGGCGCTGCGATTCTCAAGGAATTGCTGGTCGAGCTCAGCAAGAGAAAGCACTGAAGTTCCCGGTTCTAGACCAGCAACATGTAGCCCATCCAGCGACTCCAGCTGGGTAATGCCCTCGTATAAATCGGAGATCAGGGCAATGGTCTCGGTGGCAAACTTGGCAATAGCGGCCTTGCGTCCACCGACTACTACCAAGTGGCCCTTAGGAGAGGCGTTAGGAACAGGTGTGCTGATAGGGTCACGCAGCGTGAGGACGCGGTCATCGACAGCTTGGCAGGCAAATACAGAGTACTACTGCAGCTTGTTATCCACAGGGCTGTGGGTTTCAATGCCGGCAAAGCCGTTTCGAGTTGCAAGCTCACTCCACTGTTCCACGGAGAGGCAGGGAGCGTCGGCTTGGCTAGGATCCACATCGGCACCCTCCCACCACTCGGGAAGACCGCCCAGAATAGTGCCGATGCTCAGGAAGTCGTTGCTGATGACATCGCCCACGAGGAGGTAACCACCGGGTTTGACAAGGCGCCTGGCATTGGCCATGACCGTTTCCATGTCTGCGCCGGCGTGTAGAGCAGCGGCGGCCAATACGACGTCATAAGATTCCTCTTCAAAGCCCTGCTCGCCCGGCGGCTTATCCATGTCGTACTTCGAGAAGGCCATGCGGTCGCTGTACTTCTGAAATCGAGTCTGCGCAGCGCTGAAGCCCTCATCAGAGACGTCAGTGAAGGTGTAAGTCTCAAACTCTCCGTTAAGTGCAGACAGAATGTTGCTGGTAGCGGCGCCGGTGCCAAAGCCAATCTCTAAGATGTTCATGCGAGAGTAGCAGAAAGTGATCTGCCTGAGGAGACGGCCATACCAAGCGTTGGCATTCTCGGAACCGTGAGGTCCCGCCAGCTCTTGGTAGAACTGATGGAGAAGGCCGTCCTTCATCATGTAGTCCACCATATCGCCGCCGGTGCGAACGACTTCCTCTAGATTCTCGCCCACGACTCCCAACAGCTTTACGAACACGTGTTGGTGGTACCTGGTCATGAGGGAGCGGATATAGCCAGTGGAGTCGTCCATGGCCTCCATGGGTACAGTAGGGTGATTACCTTCCGAGACAAGGGACACAACGCGAGCTGCATAGTCCAACAGGCGCTGGTAGTGTGGCAAGGCGTCCTCTTTCTCTTCGGCGAAGATAGCCTCATACAAGCGATGCAGGTGGTAGAAACCCATGCGCTCAGCTGCCAGCAACATAGCCGTGTTCTCAGGCCCCAATATCGCATCGGGGCCCTTGATAGCTACAGTAACGTCGGGGGAATCCATGCGGTAACTGATACGAGAAAATACGGGAGCGTCATCGTGGGCAGTGGCGGCAGCAAAAGGCTTGACTCCAACCGAGTCAAACTGCACGAATGGATGTTCACCATCTCCGAAGAAAATACCAATGTCTACCACCATGGGAGTATCAGGAGTGATACGAGTGGAAGTCTGGTACTGGAAGGTACGATTGCGCTCATCGATACCGCTGGAGAAGTAGTATGGGTTTACAGTGACGGAGCGGATGCTGGTCGGGACGTGGAGTGCCCAAAGACAATTGTCATGAGGGTGGGCGTAAGCGGCAAAGCCAGTCTGGATGGCCGAGTCGAGTAGACCGGGGTGGACAAGCAGCTGATCCTCCCAGTCGTCGCCAGCCTCATCCTCGAGCTCACCGGTAGCAAAATCCATCTTGCGCTGAATAGCACGGACGCCAGTGAAGGGGCTGCTGTAGTTGTAGCCTAACATGGTAAACTGCGAGTACAGGCGTTCCGGCTCAGCGAGTCCCAGGTTAATCTCGTGGATCCAAGAGGTAGGCAGAGTGTCCGGCCGAGGTTCGTAGAAGACCATACCGATAGTACCACTGAAGTTCAGGGCTAAAGGAGTGGCACTATCGTAGGGTAGACCAGAGTGGCAGCTGATGTGGCCCCGCAACTTGTCGCTGTTAAGGATCTCAATGTTGACAGTAACACGGTACTTCATGCCGGCATCGTCATTGCCAAAAGTGAGGGCGCGACCGATGACGACGTCTTCGAGGCTGATCATGCCAAGCTTGCGGTTAGGACCGGCAATAGCAGAGGCAGCCTCGAGGGCCATGGCGACATAGCCCATGGCGGGGAATACCGATTGGCCCTGAGAGATGGGCTGATTTCAGCAATATGACGCAGGACTTATCCTTCTTGACCAGATACTCGTTTGCAATGATAGTGTCTTCATATGGCTTGACAGCAAACACGGGCAGGGGTGGCTCTAATCTAAGAGTCTCGCGGAGGATCTGGCCCAGTCAATACAATCCGGGCGAAAATGCCTTGCGCTCGTAAACGTACCGCTGTGACATATGGGAGCTTGGAAAGCTGATCCACCTTTATCTGTCCCTCTCCCAAGACGCTATCAACCGCTTTTTGGGCCTTCTTCCACACCTCGGGGTGCTTGACCAAGTAGTACAGAGTAAAGGACAGCAATCCAGACGTTGTCTCATGGCCGGCAACGAGAAAGCTCAACGCGTTATCGGTAGTGCTCTTTCCTGTCATGTGCTTTCCAGACTTAGGATCGGCGTTGTTCTGCATGGCAGCGACTAAATCCTTGGGCTCGGTGGGGTGGCTTGCGCGATGCGTGACGATGTCGTCGGAGACTTTGCGCAGATACGCAATGTCCTCAAAGTACTGCTTGTTTTCGTTGCGGTAGTAAAGGTTTGAGACCGCGTTGTCGGGTCTTCTAGCACGGTATCTGGATGTTCGGAGCACCCTGGCCATGGCCTGGAGAAACGGGTGCGTCTCGGTGCTATAGAAGCTGTTGAATCGGTAATCCATGGAGCAGAGAGCCAACGTATCCATGGCGAGGCGAATGAAGTCTTCGCTGGGAGTGAAAGACTCGTTCTTGCCGAGTCTCGCCCATTTCAGAGCCAGCTGGGTTGCAATATCATGCATGTCGTCAAACATACCCCGGACGGCACCCGGTCCGAAGGCTGGCATTAGCACCCGATGGGCAACCCGCCAATTCTCCTCCTCGAGGTAAGCCTAGCGGGATGTCAGCGGGTGGTCATTTCGTTTGTGTTGGTCGGGGTCATACAGTGATGAGGCCATCATTGGCCGCCTCTCGGAGTTCTTTCATGACACCAGCAGGGACTTTGCGGAAACGTTTCTCGTCGCATAGCTCGTTGATGATCTTGTGTTCGGAGGCGAAAGTGACTGGAGACTTGAGGAGCCAGATTCTGTATATTTCACCTGAGATAATCTGTCAGCTCTTAATGATACAAGAGAGGTTTTTGTGGATGCTGACCATGCTCTTCCGCCATGTTCATAAACGATCCCAAAGGGAATTCATTATCGATCACCCCAACCATGTATCCAAGGAGAGGCCAGCCCGGCGGTTCTGGAATTGGCAGTATCTCTGTCATCTTGATGATTTGTCACTATGTATTGAGGAGAGAAGTTAGAGAATGTGGAAAATCGGTCGGTTAATTAGAGGGATGAAAGTAACCCGGGGACGTATGATTCTCAGTGGGTGCTGTACTATACTCCCAAGGTTAGATCAGGTCAAGTAATCCGAGCCAACAAGATCTCATCCTAGCTGATTCGTCCTTTACACAGCATCGGTAAATTCCAGGCAACAGAATTTGAAATGTGGTGGTGTCGAGACAATGTCAGTTCAGACACAGCCCTATAGGCGACCCCCGAAAAGTTCCGAATTTCTCCTACTTTAGCTTCAGGAACAACCATAACTAGGTAGTGATAACATGGTATTTCAATCATTAAATGAGGCATTGAGTAGCCTTTGATTCCAGACAGATTCAAAGACAGAAACAACAGTTACCTTTATTAGCTGTTCAATTCCCTTTTCTGCCCCCCAGCAGCAGTAGCCATTATCACCGTCACTGCCACCCCTACCTAACCTTGTTTTCTCCATACCTCTTGCATATTATATCCTAAATGGCTGAGCAAGAGCACGAGATCCGCACTCGTGTGCGCGAGGCGTACATGCACGCCGGTCTGTATGCCTACGCCATTGGCGAATTTGCACTCATCAAAGTCTTCATCGACTATAAGGTCTTTGACGCTATCCCCGACAAGGGCGACATCACTATCTCTGGGGTTGCCCTTAAGGTCGGCGGCGAATAAGAAATCCTGGACCGCTTCGTCTTCCAGCTCACTATGGCTGAGGTCCTCGCCAGTCCTACCCCCGGCCGCGTCGCGCACATGCACAAGTCTCTCAAATATAGGTCGGACACGCTCGAGGCCGGCCTTATCTATCATGTCTTCAATATGCTTTTCCGTCCGCTAGCCAAGCTTCCCTCGTTCTTCAAAACACACGGCCTGGCGTCCCCCAAGGACTCCAAGATCACACCTTTTGGCCAGGCCTTTAACCACCCAGAATGGGACGTGTACCGCATTCTCGACAGCAAGCCCGCGCTACACAACCAGTTCAACCAGGTCCTAAAGGGCCTCGGCACCATGTACTCGCTAAAGGGCGTGTACGACTTCAGCTGGATGGAGCCCCAGCTCACCGGATCGCGCGCTGCCCTTGTCGACATTGGTGGCAGCAGCGGTTTGGTCATCAAGGACACTCTAGCCAACAACTCGTTCATCGCACCAGCGAGGTGCGCCCTGTACGATCTGCCCATGGTGGTTGAGAGCACCAAGAATACGTGTGCGACAGCTTGAAGGACATCCAGTTCGTCAGCGGCAGTATCTTCGAGCCTCTCCCCGAGAACCTCAAGGGCGCGTGCCTCTATCAGATGCGACGCATACTGAACGACTTCACCGACGAGGATGTGCTCAAGGCCCTGAAGACGGTGAGAGCGGCTGCCGCTCCGGATTCCATCTTGGTAATTGAGGAGATGCTTAGCCCGGTCCGAAATATTCTCAATGCCGGAATGGACGTTTTCCTGATGCTGGTGGGTGGAAAGAAGAGGGACTCAGCAATGTTCAGCGACTTGGCTGTGCGCGCCGGCCTCCGTCTTAACGGCGAATACAAGCAAACCTCTGCGGAGTTTGATGACTTCAGTGTGCTTGCGTTTGTGGCGGTCTAAGCCCACTGCCGATTATCGCCATGTTATTTCAAAGGATACCAATTGGATATATTCAAGACAGAAACGAGTAGTAAACTAGGTGGTCGAGTAAACTAGGTGATCGGAAATATCATGTCAACCTGGTGTCGGAAAGTTTCGGAGTTGAAGTCATCATGTAGCTTATGCATTGGATAATGTGTGGACTTTTCAGACTCCACTGCATTTTTTCGGATACCGGAGCGCTACTAGCCCTGGTGGACGATATTCATGTAGTACGTGGATAATCCCATACCCATCTACCTAGGTAGGGAGGTGCCAAGGTGTGTCAGTCCATTTAGTTAGTCAGCGGGTCTGTTGCCTGAATTTCTACTTGGTTAACTAGGCAAGTAGGATGAGTCAGCCGGGAGACAATTCCAACTAGAACTCCCAAGGCATCTTGTCAGGGGCTGTGCGTTGATCAAGCATCTTTTGAGACTTGGTTAGTCCTATTGATCCAATACCAATATATCAACCTGAAATTCTGAAATCCTGCGATCGACACATAAGTTTTAGGGTTATAAGCATGCCAAGGCATTATAAGCACCACGCCAACGGCATTGGGTACAATAGCGTATCCACCGATTGGACTATGATGAAATGATTTGCAAGTGAATGAAATAGGCTAAGATGGAACCTTGACATTGGGAACCTTGTCCACGTAAGCTACATGGCTGCCTTTGTTGCGGAGTTTACTGTCAACCATCCTCCTCACACCATCCCACAGCCGACTCCGATTTCAGAACTGGGCAAAGACAGCCCAATCTTGCCACTTTCTGTACCAAAAAAGAAAAGAAGAAGAAAGTAGTGGCCTTGCTGACTTAGGCTCCCTCTAGAAGCATTGAGAGTCAACCTCTCTCGACTCTGCTGTAGCCAGCATCTTCAACCATGGTCTACTGCGGGCGCCCCTCGGCAAGTTGCGCGCTATGTCGCACTAGCAAAAGACGAGTGCGTACTTTGTTCGTCACATACAGCTTGTCCCATCACCACTGACCGGCCACTACATCCAGTGCGACAAAGCGGTTCCATCCTGCGGACAGTGTACGTTACGATGCCCCCGTTCCCCATTCCATACGAGAGCCCCACAACTCACCATATCCCCCCACATCCCAGGCCGTCGGACAGGCCAGAATTGCCCAGGCTACCACGATGCATCCAGCCTAATCTTCCGTGACGAGACGAGCCGAGTCATCGACCGCGCTCGCACTCGCAAGACTCGGCGTGCAAATTTTCCCTCTAGCCAAAGGACATCTGCCACGCCGTCTCCCGCCTCCTTCGAGCTGTCGTTGGTCGGGTTGCGGCCCCCGGCTTCAGTGTCTCATGACTCCTCGAGCAGGTCCACACGATACGATAGCGACAACGACAACGACAATTATAATGACCCGAACATCCTAGAAAACTCGATTCGAGAGGATGATGGGAAATATGCACAGGACAAGGAAGAGAGAGCAGCACACAAATATAAAGACCTCCCAGATGATCTCGGCGATAGCATGATGTATGGCGATGGCCCATTTGTGCCAGATGACATGGGCATGTTATTTGACGACACGGGTATGTTGTGGGAGCCAGGTCAACTGATGCCCGTATCATTGTTGTCATCTGGTAAATCCACGACGCCGAGCCTCGACTTGGACGGTCAGGTTCTGTCGATGTTCATATCTCCCATAATGCCGTCTCAGAGCCTCGACGAGCTGGGGTTAAACTACTTCATGGCCAACTACGTCATAAAAGACTCTGGGCCGTGCCCCGGCGTCTTCAACTATGCCAGTAACATCCTCGCCGGGCCGGTCGGAGACGCGGAGCTGGCACGCGTGGCCATCCGGGCAGTAGGCCTCGCCGGGCTAGCCAGCACCACGGGCGCCGACAGCGTCATGCGCCAGGCGCGCTCCAGTTACGCCGAGGCTATCGAGAGGGTCAATATGGCTCTAGTGGATTCCCGTGTGGCCAGAAACGACAGCGCCATCTTCGCTGTAATGGTTCTGGGACTCTTTGAGAGCATCACCTGCTCAGGCGATGAATCTCTTGAGGCGTGGAAGTGCCACATCAACGGTGCCGCTAGCCTGTTGATGCTTCGCGGCACGTCCCAGTTCCGTACAAGGCAAGGCCTACAGATCTTCGGTGAGGCCGTCTCCCACGTACTCACACTATGCTCGCGATACGACCAACCTGTTCCGCCGCGCCTACGCTATTTGCGTGTCGAGATGGAGCGTAATGTCAATGGCAAGAGTCCATCTTGGATACTAAGTACTGCGCACATCGAGGTTATGAATCTGTACAACCAAGTGCAGCCAGAACAGGAGACACCCTTCCTGGCCGGAGAGTGGGAGACGCTGCTCTCCCACGCCGCCGAACTCAGTCAGCGACTCGAGAACCTCTTCGCTGAGCTGCCCATGAGCTGGCGTTTCAAAACGGTCAGTGACCCTACGGCGAATCCACGCCTTGTCTTCCAGGGTAAATACCATATCTACTACAACACGTGGATTTCCAAGGTGTGGGACGGGATGCGTGCATGCCGCATTATCTTAAACCTGGTTGTATATTGCCTACTGCTACGCGAGGGACTTGCATGGGCACCGCACGAATTTGCAGACGGCGGCGCCTACACGAGCCTGCTACAGAGGACATCGGACACAACGACGGAGATGCGCGATGATATCCTCGCGTCGGTGCCTCAGATGCTTGGCTTTATCCAGCACGAAGCCACAACTGGCGCCTCGTATATGAACTGTAGCAGCAGCACTGACCCAACACGCTTGGTCCCAGCCTCAGGCGCGTATTTTGTCGTCTGGTACTTGTACCTTGCCGGGAGCCTCCCGATCAACACGCCAGAGACACGTGAATGGATCGTGGACCGCCTGCGTGCCATCCGCTCTACGACCGGCATTCAGAAAGCAGCCTACCTGGCCGACATGATAGAGAAGGATGCTGGCCGTCTTACTGCCATGCTGCCGACGAGCGACTTTCTACTTCCCGCCTTTTAATCTGTTCAGTTTTATTCTTGGTTATTGCCTGTGTTAAAATATACATCGGTAGTGGTAATTGGTCTTGTGTATACAGTGATGGGAATCTAGCAGATATCAAGCAATAGAAAGTGAGCGTTTCTATCCACAATGTTGTGGACATAGTGGACATAATGAGATAAATTGCAATTCTTTTCACCATTTGTGATAGACCTATGAATGATAGATAGTTATATATCTGGTGGACTTGACGCACGGCAAAGATGAAAACATTCGAAAGTTACCGAGTTGAAATCGCTAATCGTAATATTTCATATAGGCTCTCTTTGATATCTTTTTGCCTAGCGGGTGACTCTGAATGTCGCATATAATCTTGATCTATATGGATTCAGGCCAACTCCCGAGGTCCTAAAAGTGCGAAAGTTCGCATCAACCCCTTTGGGCCCACATGTATTCCACCACATATTCACAACGAAGTATATTTTAAGCTGTATTATTTTATTATTTAGTCGATGTGAAGGTATTTTGACCCGTATAGTATATCATATAGACATGCTGAATTGTACACAAATAATAATGAAACGTAGAAAAATGTATACATGGATAACATTTTAATAGAGGCGAAACTGGATATCGAAGGCGGTGATTAAATGGCGGTCAAGCCCCGAACTTTCAAGGTTCAATACATTGAATCATGTAACTTAACATTCTCTACACAAACTTGATTAGCCGATGTAGAACAAAGCGTCCGGCTGAGATGTAATGCGCACAATTGCCTCATCTAGTGCCGACAAGGCCCTATGCACCTAATCGTGCGTTAGGAACTCGTGGCGAGCTCGGCTATACGCGCAGCGGATTAGCATCTTCTCATCCCACTGCAGGCTACCAGGCCATAGCTCCGTAGTGAGAGAGAAGCCAACGTCAATCTCCTTGAAGGGTGCCATGAGGCTTTCGTCGAAGTTGAAGCCTGGCAGCTGACGCAGCGGGTTTTGTACCTCTTCCGGCGTCAACGCCTGTACCAGCAAAATACTATCGAAGCGATCGGTGCCCATGCGCGCGTGAGCAAGTGTCGGACACGGCATCTGTAGGAACGGCTGCGCCTCGATCCGGTGTGCTATCAATAGCGAGCAGACCTCCCTGTTAGTAAGCAGCTTAGTGCCGTCAATAACGAGGCGCTAGGGTAGGGCTGCGAGCATCGGTGCCATGCAGCGGAGTGCGTCCTGGTGGCGTCGGCCGTTAAGTACCGTTCCAAATTGCACATCAAACGAGTTGTTGCCGGCGATAGTGTCAGCGCGGACAGTATCCGCGAAGGTCTGCGCCAGGACACTGGCCCAAGCAGCCTCGGCGACCGTGAGCATGTTGGTTGACATGGCCTGCGCCGCCTTGAACAACTGCCTCATCGTAAGGCTGGCCTTGACACTGACACTACGCATGTGCGTCTCCGTGAACCCGGGGGCTGCGTTCGGGAGTAACGCCCTGGGCACAGGTTGACGGTTGCCAAGCCGGCTTCCAGGGACGCCAGCGAGACGGCCCGCCCAGTACATGACGGTCTTTATCCAGTCGTAGCTGAAATTAAGCTCCACAGCGGTTCGGATCGGCAGCAGATCTATAGGCGGCGGGGACCCGGGCTTGGCATACTCGGCCAGCACAGCATCAAAGAGGAAGTTGAGCTGCGTGCCATCATATACACCATGGAACATGGACATGACCATGACACAGCGAGCACGATTGGGTGATCACACCCACGCTACGTTGAGGCCGGGCTTGTCGACGCTCATGCTGGCCTCGGCGGCTCTCTGGATGCCGTTGATCGTGTGGCTCCAGAGGCTGTTACGGTCTTCGGCGTCTGTGTCGTTGCAGATGACCTCGGTCTTGGGAATACAGGCTACCGACGGCGAGAGGATGCACTGCGCAAAGGGGGCGACAGGGTGCTCGACTGACACAAAGACGGTACGGAAGCAGTCGTACCGCGGTAACAGAGTATCGACGGCGCGCTGGAGCCGGGCCGGGTCCATGTCCTTGGGAATCTTGTATACGAAGTGCGTTATCTGCGGCCGGCCGACGTACTTGGCAGTATCATAATATTCCGGGTCGATAGCGAGAGCGACGAATCGGGCCTGCACGTTGGTGACAGGCAAGACTTGATCGACTTGGTCGTCGTTTAGTTCCAGAGCCTCGAGACATTGCGCGCGGCAGTGGTGGTCGAAGTGGCATAGTTTTTCCTCGACGGGAAGCTCAAACACTTTTTCGGCGTCATCCGCCGCGATGATAGTCACATCAATGCTACCAGGAGCGGCGAAAGCAGGACCAGGCCTAGCTGGGATGACGATGGGCTCAGGCTCAGGCTCGTGGACTATTACTGGAGCGGCAGCGAGTGTCTCCTTTGCTCGTTGTTTGTCAACTGTGTCAATCAAGTCGCCGATGGTATTGGCGGCTAGGACTTCATGTATTTCCAGCTGCGTGATACCTAGCTCACCTAGGGTCTGTAGGAAGACTAAAGCACCCAGGCTGTCCAGCCCCAGCTCGGCGAGGACGACAGACCGGTCTTGTCGCTGAATATCCTCCCCAAGAGCATCGACAAGGCCTTTGTAGATGATGGAGGCTATATCGGGTTTCCCCTTTGATCGCAATTTGTCAACCTTTTCTATAAGGTCGCCGATGGTCTTGGTAGCCAAAACATCTTGAATTTCTAATTCAGTGATGCCGAGTTCACCCAGTGTCTGCAGGAAGACCAACGCAGACAGGCTGTCTAGTCCCAGATGGGAAAGGGTGGCAGAGCGATCTTGTTCCTGAACCTCCTCCCCAATCGCGTCGACAAAACCTTCGTACACGATAGAGGAAGCGTCGATGGGGGCATCCAGTTCGATCGCTGAATCAGAGCCACTCGTAGTTGATTTCTCTGAGGCGATATTACGGTTGACCACATTTCGAACCATAGGCGTCGCCGCCGCCTGAGTATGGGAGATAATGGCTGCCAGCGCCCTGCGGTCCACCTTGCCATTAGGAGAAAGCGGAAGTCTGTTCATGACTAAGTACTGGAGCGGCCGCATCCAGGCTGGCAGGTATTTTTCCGCTTCGGCGCGGCATCTGGCCTCATGGGCTTGTTCATGTACCCGGCCGAAAGCTGAGATCCGCCGACAGCCAGCTCGCCAGCCACGCCAAGCGGCACCACCCGCCGTTCCGACGACTCCATGTCCAGCACGATAAGCTGCATGCCGGGAAGTGGCTGTCCGATGACCGAAGGGCGCGAAGCACTGTCGCAGACGTGGTTAGACACGAGGACGGTGGCCTCAGTCGGCCCGTAGCCACAAATCATGAGGCGGCTGGGCTTGTCCTCGCCTGCCTTGGGGGCAAAGTTGTCGATGACGCGCTGACCGACCAGCTCACCTCCCACGGCGATCCACGTAAGTGTAGGCACTCGCTCGGACCGCAATAGCATGGCTAGACTGTTCACGGTGAAGGTGGCCGAGGCGCGCAGCTCGCGGACGATAGCCTCGGGATTAGTGCGCAGCAGTTGGCGCTCAGCTATGCAGATGGTGCCACCCTTTAGTGGCGCCATGAAGTTGTCCATCAGGACAATGTCAAAGGTGGGCGCCGACATGACGATCCAGCGCAGCTGCGGGCCAGTGGGTAGAGGGGCTGGGCCAGCGTCCATGTCTCGAAAAAAGGATATGGCGACACGGTGCTGTATCACAACACCCTTAGGCTTCCCAGTCGAGCCACTAGTGTATATGATGTATGCAATGTCGTCCTCGCTGAGCGTGCGCTGTACCAAAATAGGACCATCTGTAGGGGGTGGTCGACCCTGCAAGCAGGCTGTGGGATTGAGATAGTCGATCCAGATGATGTCTTTACCGAACTCAGTGTCAGCCCATGGATTGCTGCCGATTCTCAAAATACCGTGGGCTTGGAGATCGACCAGGATATCACGGAGCCTCTCCTCTGAGGCGTCTGTTTGTAGGGGGCAAAAGGCATGTCCGGCCTTGGAGATGCCGTTCATGCAGATGTTGAGCTCGGTGGAGTTGTGAAGAAAGATGGGCACCATCTTCTGCACACCCTGGAAGGCTGGCCAGTCGAGCCTTTGCAGCACGACTTGGATCTCATCTGCAAACGACCGCACCTTGGCATTGAGTTCGTCGTATGTTACCTCGCGTCGTGTGTATGAGCCCGCACGACCGCCCGTCACCTCGTCGATGGCGATGTTGCGAGGAAATGAGCGTGTGGCATCTTCCAATATGTTATGCAAGAGGACTGGAGAGCCATGATCATCATGCAGGGCTTGTTGAGGCAATGGACCCTGAATTTGGCTGATTTCCGTCTTGTGGAGGCCGGGATGTGGATTGATGTATGACGTCGCAAGTTGTAGCAAATGTCGCGCTGCTGCTTGCGGTCCGTAGCTGCCACGGAGGGATAGTGTGATATCAGAAACCCCCTCATCAATGGGTCGCAGTGAGACAACCAGAGGTTGCTGCAGCTTGATAAGGCTGTTGTTGTTCGTACTAGCCGGGGAAACAGGCGCGTAGATGCCGAAATCTACGCCAGAAACATCCGAGCAAAATGCCCTTCGTCAACTCCACAACATTCCCGGACGCCGTGGTCGCGCAGACCAATATTTGCTCGCAGCCGTCATATGCAATGAAAGCGACGTCGGTGCCGCCAGTCACGGCCAAGATGAAACGCGCAAAACGTTGTAGGAGAGCATGACTATCACCAGCAACGGGGATAGCATGGGTGGTGACCTCGTGGTATGAGCGCACGGCTGCGGTTCCTACGGTGGCGTTAAAAAAGGGCAGACTCGTCGTCATCGACCGTAGCGTGGCGTCATTGCTTTGTTCAAGCGAGCCCATTGTGACACAAGGTGTAAACCAACAACGAATATGAGGTGGCTTGCGGATGTATACAATTGAAATGTATATAGTTTGAAGAAGATGAGTTATATCCGAGTTCCAATTTAATTTGTCGCTATCCCCAAGTGCTGACGGTCCTATCTATAGCCTTAACATGGCCATAAAATGGTTGCCGAGTATAGGCACAAGCGTGGTGCTTGGTATATTCATGCAAGAAACCATACCGAGTAATCATTCCCATTTTCAACGGTGTTGCCATGACCGGAGATTTTCGGAGATGTGGCCTTGATGCTGACTTTGGCACCTGGGTGATCAACCCGTGGACCTTGGATTATTACCTAATCAAATAAGCGTCTGACATAATCTGGAATCAGACCCCCTGAATGGATCCCTCCAGGGCCGAACCTTAAGAATTCCTAAGGATCGCCACACGCTAGTCCCATTAGGGTATGCAGTTGTACACCTGGGCACCTGGGCATACACTCATGGTATGCAGCTATACACCCCTAATCCCCTTAATATTCTTTCATACCACCATACCTAGCTCATGAGTACCTAACTTTATTCCAACTGTCTCTATTTCCTCCCTCCCTGGCTCACTATCAATCGCTACAATGACTGTATCGTATCGCACTGCCATCACTGTCGTTCAATTCATCTTTTTTGTCCCCTCTGCTGTCTACGCCACTTGGCTCTGTTTCCACTATGGCCTTAAAGCTGCAGGCACATGGCGATTTATCGCGACGCTTTCTTTGCTGCGTGTAGCCGGTGGCATTTCCTACTTTGTGTCGTTAAGCAATCCTGGTCTTAATGTCATTGTATCCGTCGTCGTCTGTGAACTTTCAGGCTTGGCACCCCTCATGCTTGTATGCGTTGCTCTTGTCGGCCGAGTGTAAGTACATTTATCACAAAGAGTCGCCACTGTGACGGACATTTTGCTAATTCGCTACGCGGACAGGAACAAGACGGCCAAGGTATTCCCTGGAAAGGCCGCCATTTGTATCTCTCTACTCTCCTTACTGGGGCTAATTCTCGGTATTGCCGGCACGGATGGGGCTCTCGAGGAAGCAGACACCACGGACGACATCCACCTGAACAGTCTCACCAAGGCCGCATTGGCCCTCTTCCTTGCTGGTTTCGCTCTGATGCTAGTCGGTTACTTTGCATTGGTCCAGGACATACTACGCTATCCAGCCAAGCGAGCTGTGCTTGGAACCGAAGCGCGCATTCTAGTCATCGTGGGACTCGCTGCGCCATTTGTGTTCGTCCGTCTGCTTTACAGCGCCCTTGGTGACTTTACCGGAGCGGAACTATGGAGCTCCATTGGTGGAAACGATACTGTCTATCTCATCATGGACGTCCTCATGGAGATCTTTGCCATCACTATCATGTATACCACCATATATTTCGCACCGCTGCCGAAAGACGCACCCGCGGAGCGCATTGTGGACGCCGAGAGCGGTGACACTAACGAGTTGGCTGAACAACGGACATCCTCATCGCTCACTGCGATAGAGCTTGGGAGCGAGAGTCAAACAGCCCTCAAGGAAGAGAGCCACAAGAACAACGAAGCTTAAGGAGCTTAGGCTTTATCTAGCGAGGGTATGGTTATATCTTATGTCAGTTTATAAGCCGACCATCTAACAAGGGGCATTTGTACTTATGCTGGTATTTTTTGCGTTTTTATTCTTAACATTTAGTGCATTTGGTTCAGAGTCTTGAAGAATGTATTTTGAGCACAGAAGCAGTCATCGAAGTGTGTGCATAGCGCACTGATAGATTACTTCGCCCTCACTTGTGAATTTTCAATTATCTCACATATATTATGTAGTTAGTATTAGAAGCCATTTATTTACGGAGTATAGTAACTCAATATTGGTTATTATTTTTTTCGCTTTATTCGCTGCTATTATAGGCCTGTAAGGCGGTTTTACGTGATCAGCTTGTCATATTAACAATCTAACTACGGAATTTACCTGCTTCACCGTGACCCCTGTTATATCTCACCACACCCTGATGTCTACGTAGGATAAGCCTTAAAAGTTAAAATCAACCCTTCAGCCTACTCCGTATTATGTGTATAGTTCTATACTTGCCATTGATCAGATGATTTTCTTCCCTACTCTAAGGAGTAGGAATGTATGATTTTTTATTTGTTTAGTCAAGTTTTGGTCTTACATGAAAGCAATTTCCACCACTTACCTAGGTCGCTTTGACGTTAACATGGTGATGGCCATTTGAAAAAACAGCCCCTTTAGCTACTGTATTTCGGGCTCGTTCGGTGCCCAGGGGTAGCCTTCCAAGATTGTGACATCAGGTTACCTAAACCGGGTGCTGCCCAGGTGGAGATAAATCTTAAGCCACATTCTGGGCACCCAATAAGGCTCCACCACCGCCCCCACATGCGTTACGGCTCCTGCCGCTAAGGATTGCGGTGCTGGTTACCCAAATGGGAAGGTGTATGCGACGATCATCGCTACTGCCGCATTCTACTACCCCATAGTACTGTATGGTTGGTGTCGCGTGCGGGTCTCGGTGCCTTAACAGGTTTGTGTTGCTCAGCGCTAGGCAGACATACGCAGATCGGCAGAAGCTTGTTCGTTTCATGAGGCTTGAGTTATTCTGGGAAGGCGAATCCACATTCCCTCTTGGGGGCCGTGTTGGACTAATTTCGGCAAGGCTCTCGATATCCGCCCTGAGAGGCAAATTGACAGAAACACTGTCACTACTCAGCCTGAGTATTCTGAACTCCGACTTATACCGATTCGGAAAGCATTGGGACGAAATAACGTAGGATGGATCCATGGATCTATATAATATGTAAGGCTACGCACACAAGAATCAATTATATCAACCCTCAATTGCTTCACAATTCACCAGTCCTTTCCAAATCAACAAGTCTCTCTCAGATTCCAATTATTCACCTCAAATCAAATCAAAATGGTGGCTCCAGGAAATATCACTATCGATGATCTCACCGGCCGGTGGAGCATGGTACGTACAATATACAAGCCGCAAATAGCTTCCCGCCCCCAAACAAACAAAGAAAAAAGTTGACCCTTCACTCTAGAACCTTCAGCTATCGGACTCCTATGACTCCATCCTCAAAGTCCAGGGCATTAACTGGCTCACCCGCAAGGTCCTCAACGTGGGCAGCATCACCATGACCATCAAGCAATATGCCGACGAGGCCGGCGTTACACACCTCACCATCGACTCCAAGAGTGGATCCGGCCTACCAGGGTCCACCGAAAATCGTCTTCTCAACAACGAGACCAGACACGCGAACCACCCGCTATTTGGTAAGATTACAGGCCGCACAGCTTGGGTGAACCTGGCCGACCTTCCATCCCCTGGCTCGCCGATGGCTGGGAGCAGGGTACCACCAGGGCCATCCTCATGACCACTGAGCACCTCGATATCGACGGTATTACCTACCAGGCTGGTGGTTTCGAGCAGCTCAACGGCGAGCACCGCTATGTCCGCCATATCGAGGTCCGCAAGGGCGGCGAGATCCTCAAGGCTAAGCTGGTCTATGACTACCTAGGCCCACTAGAGGAGTAAGACGAGTGATTACTGTATGGTGTTTAGTAGCATGCAGGGGTAGCGGCAACCGTGCAGGGCATCTGATAGCCGAACTGGAGTCGGAGTCTTGCGGAATTCCGGAAGGAATCGATAGGCGCCGAGAATGTCCCGTAGTCGTCGAACTTCGGGGTATCAGATAGATGCGCATGCGCTAGATTATGTGGATTAGACTTGGACGAAGTAATGAATAGAAAGAATTTTGTACTCCGAGCCTCCTGACCTGCCTGAGCTTTTTCCTATAATTCGAACGGTGTAAGAGGCTATGGGTGACTAATAAATTTACAACCCTAGAGCTAGGAATCAAGTGGGGCTAAATGGCGGGCCACAGGTAGAAGTTGACGAGTGGCCACAGGGGAAGGGAAGTTGCCGTTTAATTTAGAAGTTTCAAGAAGACAATAAGGAAATAATTGACAGCGTTCCACAATCTTTCCTTATGTACATGCATTGTAGGCAGACGCACGTCGTGCACGCGTAAAGGGCCAATGTAGGCAAAGCGAATGAACATGCGAGGTAAGGCGAAAAGCACAAACATATTATATTGACAGATTGAGAGAGAACCGCTGCATTACCTCAGGCTGTAGTGTAGCGCAAGGACGAGGACCAATGAGAAGCGGAGTGAACGTTGGTATCGTGTTTTGATGTATGGCATACATGAAATGATGAGTATGAGGTTTAGTATCTTATTCTTTCTCGTAGGAGCTCTTTAACCATCGTCGCCTGTTTGCCTAAGTTGCGAGAACTACTGCCCTGCTGCCTGCTTGAGTTTAGCAGCAGCCCGACAGCCACGTTGCACGCAATGACGGCTCCACCACCGAGTTGGCCGTAATTGTTGTCCTGTAGAACATCGAGCAGCATGCGCACAGCCATGTAAATCCGGTGCAACCTGAGATCTGCATCCACACAGGGGAGCTCGCCAAGACGTAGCCCCACCGCAGCCGATGTTCCAGGTGCCACACTGCTGGGGCCAGAAAGGGAGGTGTCGAGGCCGGGGAAGCCAGATATGGTGCTGGGATGTTGGCTGATCGGCATGCTGTTGAGGTGCTCTTGAAAGTGCCCTAGAACGACGCTGTAAATGCGGACCAGCCACATATAGCCACACATAACGAGCAACATGGTCGCTCTGTCGTCGTTCTCATCTTGGTACTCAGCGTCCTCGGTGCTCTCACCCAGAGTTACAGCGCTGCTGAGGATGGGACCGGCGACAGTGCTGAACTGTTGCGAGAGCTCCAGAATAGTGCCCACTGGGTAATCGTCGAGGCTGACTGTCTTGTCTGTCTCCATGGACCCTCCTCCAGCTTTTTCAGCTGCTGCTGGATCTCTGATATCAGGTAGGTGAGTTTCTGGCTGGTAAGAACTGTATTGCTGTTTTTGATACTGTTGGTCGTGTCGTCAGCATCCAGCATCAAGCTCTCCGGTGGATTGTTCGACACAGCCGCTAGGGTGGCCAGAGGTGGCCACGGCGTGGCATCCGGGATGCTGAAGTCAGAGGTGTTCCCGTCGTACATGGGATATCCGTTTGATAGCCAATTGTGGCCGGACAGATTGGTAAGATATTCAGAAATGTCCGGAGTCATGCTGAGATGCTCCATTGCCGAAGTTCCCCATGTATATGATGGCTCGCAGAATCCTTGATTGAGTTCAATGGCAGTTAGCGGTGCAGGCTCAAAGTCTACCTGCCCGTTCGGTAGCCTTGGACTCTGACTTGGACGTATGGACCCAGATTCGTGATCATTTTTATTTCTCTTCTCACTAAGGATCTCTGTGTTGGTTATATATTGTAGAGGGAAACGCTCAAGGCGGTATGCTCTAAGACATACGGACTCGTAGTTCAGCTTCATACCCCACTTTGCATACAAAGGAACCCAGGTACACTTCCTAGGAATTGGATTCAGAGAGGTGTAAAAATATGTATTCTCAATTTGTGTTTATCTGCCACTTGTAACCTCATCTCAACGCTTACATAACAAATTCATAGAAAAATATGGAAGAAGAGGCGAGGGCAATGAGTAGTGGAGAGTCTGTCTCCCAATTACAGTATGTAGTTGTTGAGGCTCAAGCATTTTGTGGCATGAGTAATGAGTGCAACCTTCCAGTCTGATCAATAACTTCCGGCACGAGTGCATATGAGGCGGTCAAAACATTGGTAAATTTGAAAGGGAAAAAAGATCCCACGCCATGACGGTAATGTCTGGAACATCTCACGACAAACCATGCTTTTTGAACTTCAACCTCTCTGACTGGAAGAACAATAGGCAGGATTTACCGGAACTCTTCCAAATTCGGTATGTCTACATTATTGATTAACTATCAGAGAAATGGACTGGCCATGGTATTTAGAGCTTTCGATCTATGCTTCATCCTTCATGCTGATCCTAACGGGACGGTGATAAGTATTCTGTTGGATTTAACCATATCGCTCACCAATCACACTGGAATTTGCAATATGGTCAGAACTTTTGATCCGGTTTGGGGGAAATCCTCGACCAACCGCATCTGAGCAGGTGAGGACAGAACTTGTCTGGCGAGATGGAATGCACCTCTTCACATTTAGCCACCGACCAGAACTCATACAGCAATCCGAGAAGATGGGTTGAAAAGCCCACATTCACCGGCCATTAATGCGGGGGACGGAAACCTTACATACGGTGATTTGGATGAGGTATCATCGTTTGCTTGACAAAGCATCTGCTATACACATTCCTTCCTCCTAGGACTATCATACCATTTTCCTTTGACAAAAGAAAGTGGATGACTGTAGCGGTGATAGGGATTCTCTGAGCGGGTGCGGCATATGATATTGTGAACCCATTTTCTGTCCTATTACATGCACAGAGAGCATCCGTGGCGATTTACATGCGGATTTGATGGTTTGCTCCTTTTTATGTCTACCCAAGGCTAGTCAGTTAGTTCCTTGGGCGATCGCAGTTGAGCTTATTATGAAGGAGGTCCCAACTCTCAATGAAGCAAGAGATCTCACTGTCAAGCTCACCGATCTTGTGTAGGCGGCCTTTGCGCCAGGGTCAACAAGTAGACCCTAGGGCGTAGTGATCGAGCATGGGGGCTTCCTGTAATGAGCCATAGCTAATGGGCCAGCTCTCTCATTGTCAAACAATATTCAAGTTCTCCAATTTCCCAGCTTCGCGTTTGACCAACCGTGACATCCTCTACAAACTGCCATTTGGGGGGGGGGATATGCATTAACCACTCTCGACTCGCCGGGTCTAATCTCACCGCATTATCAGTCAAAAAATAGTCATTTGGATTTGGGTCACCATAACCCCCTCAGCCAGCAAAATTCTAGATCCTGATGATACCCCACTCTCCGAAGCATGGTGTTTTATGGAGAGTCTGGGATTCAAGCCTAGTCGCTCTATGGGCAAATCGCCTCGACCTGATCAACGCATACTAACCACGAGAGACGACTTCAATTGGCTCCATGGCTACCGTCACACCTACGACTAGCCCAATGGACATTGGGGGTGTGTTCTGGATTGTAGACCCTGCAGACCATGACGGACTAGCCCCAGTTGGTGCCTCAGAGGGAGTTGGTAGTCGACGGACCTATTTTTGATTGTGAGTATCTCAACTAACTTACAGAGACGGCGTTGTGCATTCTTCTCGCCACAACCTGGCTGCATGCAGGGCTGAGGTCCACTGGAACGGAATTTTGCGCATGGTATCCACCTCGCTGGCGAGCGGTGCTGTCGTGCATGTCATCCTGCGGTCTGCTGAGCCCATCCTGGAACATCGGGTCATCGATGAAAGATCAAAAGATTTCTGCACCTCCATCATAGAAGCAGGCCCCACAGTCGGACACCCGTTCGCTTCGTACTTGTCTCCAGTTCAGGCACGAAGCACGCCCTTTAGTTCGTATGTTGGCACATATATCTAGTTCTAGAACCAGAACCTCAAAGGGGCATCTATAACTTTAGGCCTTCTAAATGGCACCCCAGAGCCAGAGCCCATCATCAGCGCACCTTTTCCCACAGTCCTAGGCAACCTCGGCATGCCCGCTCTCCTAAACCCAGCATGTAGTACCGTCTTACCCGATCTAGTGCAGAGCGGCGTCTTTAGAAATGTTATGGACACACATGCGACATTTGCCTTCCCTGGCATCGAGGCCAGCTCGGCTCCCTGTATATATATCAAATCACGGCGGGTATACCCAGCGCGTCACACGACCTGGGACATGTCGGATATCGTGGCCCAATGTATTGACTGGCCGCATAACCTAAGAACCGATACGGGTGAGCCACCGCTAGCGCTAGACGAGGGGATGTGCTTATCGTTTTGCCGCGCCGGCTGATTTTCCGCTGTATTGCTGGTCAAGTCCGGTTGGAGGTTCAGGTTGTCATCTCTACTACTCTGGTGAAATAAGCCGTCGGCGACATAGCTTACAGGGAGGCTTGTTGCTGCTATAGGGGTGCTATCAAAGGCTCCTAGAATTCTGTAAGAAAATGTTTGTGTTTAGCAGAGGCAATATATGATAGAGTGGTCATAGATTTTGGTCTTCCTTTCCCCTGTTTCTCCAAAGCTAAGCCTCTGAACCTTCCAAGTCTGGAAGTTCAAGTGAAAGCTTAGTAAGCACCCGCAGCCCCCTCATCTAAGCAGTTCATTAGACAAATACCTTTGCCCTTATTTCCCCGACTCTCCATTCAATTCATAAGTATTCCCAAGGTACCGAGTGTCTTACATAGATCTGATTCCCGATAGTGAAATATTGGAGAATGTTTCACCCCCAATTCACTTTTCGGGAAATGTCTCACCATCTTCCCCATTCAAAGCGATCAGCTTATGTTAGCCATGTAGGCAACAGAAATGTATATTGTACATGTACATGTATTCGATAACTAGTTAACTAGTTAACTAATCCCAAGGTCGATGGGAAGTGAAGAAACCCCACCGTTAACAGGACCATATCTGGGAAAGGAAAATGAGATCCACGTAGGAGTAGTACAGTAACGATAACAGAGCGGAATCAGCTATTAAATCGGGCACTTGAAGTGTCAGCATCACAAATATTGTCCAAGTCACACATCTCAACAATAACCTTGCAATACGAAGAGTGCGCTGCCCGACTCCGCCACGGGCGGGGCCTTTGCTTCTAGATCTTCGGAAGTCTCAGACACAGCACTATTTTTACACATTTCCGTGTTCATTTTTGTTTTTTAAGATGGAAAAAAAAAAAAATAGGGCGTCCAATGATCCCGTTTATCAGACGGTTGCAAGGTTACATGCGGAGAGTTACCTAGGTAACGTTATGAGCTGAGCCCTTTCCTTTGTCTCTCTTTCGAGCTATCAGAAACCGCCCCACTATGACTGGGCACACGTATGTGGGAGCAGAATTGATTTGGAAATTTGATTGTTCGACATGGGACGACTTCAGCTGTAGTGAGACCTGCTGTGTTATAAAACCCAAGTTTGGCCCTGGACTCGGGTTCTTGAGATCACAAGAGCACTTCTTACAGTCCTCACAACCCCTGACGGCTTCTTTCGCTCTTGCTCAAATACTGCCAAAATGGATTTTATCCGAGTCATTGCTTTGTTCTCTTTCTTCTTCACTGCTGTCGTAGCATTTCCCCAGCAGACTGCCGCGGGTACAACAACCGCGATTCCGGCGACAATCACCAAGGCTGCGTCGCTCAGCTGCTCGGACGGCCAGACCGCTGTCTACACGACAGATTGTACGATGGGAACGCCTACATCGTACTGCGCTAGACCGGAGCCCCCCATCCAGTGCTCGGAGGGGTACTTCCCCTCGGTTTGGCACCCAGGTCATTGCATGGAGCAGTCGACCTGTTTTCCCGTCGATGCGTCCTGGATAACGACCGAGTGTTCGCATGGGGCAATTCCTTGGACAACCTCGACCTTGTATGAAGGTACCTTGGCGGGAGGGCAGTCGACTATTATCAGTGGTAAGTCCCTTCCTGTTCATTTTTCTTGTTCAATTTGCCCAGCACGTAGACAATAAAGCTGATATGCCTGATATTTCTGAAGCCGTTTCCTGCTCCTGTGCCAGGGATCAATGGTACAGTATGACCATTCTCCCAGGCGCATCCACCGTCGACACTTTCTGCATGCCTTCAAGCTCCTGTCCAGCAGGTATGACAACCTCAGTCTCGACCAACACTTACTGCGCAACAGCGCCGGCAAGTGTGTGTTCAGATATCCCCTTAGAGACCAACTACTGCAAATGCGAGTCCGCAGCGCAGACACCCGTATACCCAGACTCTGTTGGGGCGGCTCCAACCGGATGTAGATCTTGATGAAAACGGAGAATGGTTCTTTACCTAAAGCACTATTGGTCACGGCTAGTTGGCTGCTGAGATGATCTTGACGTCGAGAACGGGAGACAAAACCTGCCTCGGAAAATTAAATGTATATATCTTTTGAAGAATTTCTTAATAAAACCAGCGGAAGTCATCGCAGGCAGGCCCATCCTTGAGATATTCCGTAGGGATATCCCTTGCATTAACGTGAACACCTTGCAATCGATCCCTTTTCTTATTATCCGCCATCATCCAAAGCCCAAGAGAGAGTGTCAAGACAATACCAACCCCACCAAATGAGGCCGTGGTGATTAAGGCAGGGAGATACTTGGGTGCATCTTGATTTCGAAAGATGTTCGAGCTGACAACGCCCATTAGGTTTGCCAATGGGACTGCAATACTCGTCAATACCACACGGCGCCCTTCATTGGCAGTGTTGTTATTATACCAAGTGTCGAGAAGAACGGAAGGCGCCGAGGTGCCCCTATATAAACTTGTTAGCTTTTATGTCATGAATGAAGGGGGATGAACCGACCAAGTCATCAGAAATGAAGCAAAATAGGCTACATTTATATCGTGCTCAACATCGATAGTCGCATAGATCACGAACCCCACGAAGGTGAACAAAAAGCCGAGTGCGATGAATGGGAATCTCCATCTCGTCCAGTCACTACTGAATGCCAGGATCAGGAGAACTACAGCGCCTGAGATGTTGGGGGCCACGGTGAATAGGTTGGTCTTCACGGTACTATATCCAAGGCGCTGGATTATCACTGGAAGGAATAGCTGAACAGCTTGCAGGGGAACACCCAGGCAAACCTGAATCCCCAAGATAACCCAACTAGTTCCGTGTTTAAAAACTTTGAACGCATCGCGGATGTCGAGCTTTTCATTGACCACAGAAGAACTGTCAATTTGCAAACGAAGGTATGCGAGTTCTTTCTCTTCGGGTGTCAGGAAACTGGCCTCTGAGGCCGACCGAGGTAGATACCATAGTGCGAAGAGTGCGAAGAGAACAGTCCCTGCGCCTTCGATCAAAAAGAGATACCTCCAAGGCGCCAATGGTCCCGTGTGGATGCGGAAAATTCCAAATGCCAGCAATCCAGAGAAGGCAGAGGCAATAGTTTGAGCCGCGTAGAAAATGGCGAGTCGGCGAGCTAGCTCACCCCGACGATAGAAGCTGGGTTTGAATTAGAGATAATGCAATTCCAAAAGCTAGAAAGGATGGACTTACGTCGTCTGGTAATAGATTACCAATGGGAAAAACGCGCTCTCTGCCATACCCAAGAACCACCTAATGGCGAAGAGACCGCTAAAGTTGTAAACTGCGACAACAAGAATCGTGCAAACACCAAAGGCAAGCATCATGCAGGGTAGGACAATGTTTGGTCCATATTTCTTTCCCAAAAGACCGAGAAAAGGTGCAGTCAAAACGTAAGGGACAAAAAAGATGCTAAGAAGCAGATTATATTGATTCCCCTTCAGGGAGATTGTTTCTGTTATTGTCATTCATGTCAATGCGGTACTCTTCAGTCATCAATTCTAGTGACGGCGTACCTTCAAGTCCGGCTGTCTTGGCATTGCCCAAATTGGATTTGTCCAGGCTGTTGAAGAGATACATGATGGCCAGCACAGGAAGTAGCCGAAGATCAAACTTCCATACTAATGCTCGCTCCGCTCGAGGGTCAATGTCGACACTCGAGATAGTGACTGGTACATTTTGTTTTGAAGGGAGGTGACTTGATTCGAAGTCGGTAGGCATGGTTATAAATACAAATGAATGTAATGATTCCAATATAACGATATGTAGTCGATTTAAAAGGATGTCCCGGGGGGTATATACCACCATAGTTCTATATCGATAAGCATGACACAAAAGACAACAAATGCAAGCTTAAATGTCTTGGCGGTTCTTGACTGATAAGCCATCAACGGAGACGGCACATTCCCTATCTCTTGAGGACTGATGACACACGGAAACCGCTTATAGTTAATTGGAGTGGAATATGTATATATATCAGGGTCGGGATATTACGGCTTCACTACGGAGTACAGTTGACATTATAAGACTGACTTACACAAATATAGGAAATATAATAGAAATCTGAAATACCGATGTCTTCGCAACGGTAGATGCACGCCGGCACTGTGTTCAACCCCTTTGATAGAGAATAATGTATGGTATGAATGATTGATGTTAAGAACTCTAACTAAAATGACAAAACCCGCGTTTTCAACAATCTGTGCGAACCTCGATAACTAGTTAACTGTTAACTGTAATAGGAATGTCAGTTCGGGGAGACTCGTAAAATCGCTTACATAATTTATTATTTTCGAGTCTCCCTCAGCTCCCGGCACCAAGTTAAGGGAGACTCGAAAATAGTAAATTATATAATCATATTACGATAACTATCAACAACATTCTGACTTTTATTTAACCCCTTGATCTTGTATTTTTAAAATTTACCGATTATCTATAACAGTATCAACACAATAGTATCGTTATTATGAGAATATGTATTTTAGTATATATACTCGGGTTTACAAAAATCACTAGTAAACTTATAAATACCGCCGAACTACCATTAGAGGTAAAGTGCAAGCAATTCATTATTCGATTAAACGTAAGCAAACATAGATATGTTATAGTACTCGATGATATATAGATATTGGGTGTAGTTTAGTATTTTTTTGGCCAAGAAAGCTATATACGTGGTATGATTGGACTAAATGATGATTATATAATTTACTATTTTCGAGTCTCCCTCCACTCCCGGCACCTGAGGGAGACTCGAAAATAATAAATTATGTAAGCGACTTTACGAGTCTCCCCGAACTGGAACCCGACTGTGGCCGACTGTAATATACACCTTTGTATGGTATGCCTGGTACCTAGTGTCATATGATTTTCCACCATATACTCGACTTAGTATTCGACAGTATATGTAAATATTTTCTCTACTCTGTACATCGAGAGAACAAGAATATGATGGAAAGGCACATTCTTAGTACTTGCGGCCGGGTCTCAATTTTTGAAAGTGAGTTTATTCGAGGTCATGACACATCGTTATCAGAGTGAAGATCATATTCCATTAATGGAATAGTATTGGAGTAGCTGTAGTCAACCCCATTTTCCCGCCTATTATACTTCGAGGTGTCGGTTTTGTTGTATGTGAGGTAGTACATTATTATTCTCATATTGTACGAAATTCCACTTCGGTTTCATTCGTTTTCTTTTCGAATTCTCCGGCGAGACTCCAAATCCCAAAATTTGTCCTTTTACATGTGTATCGAACTACTCCTGAAGGAGACTTTCCCCTCTTGCCGGATGTTGCCGGTAATAGGGAAAACAAGTGGGATATCTGGTAAATGATATTGTAGCAATCACTATTACTGCACTGTGATTGACAGAACTCCATAAGGAATGAGCGAATAAGCCCCATCCCCCAGTTTCTGGGGACCGAGGCAGAGTCTGGGGTATGAGGGGTTTCATGTGGATTTCCGATGATCATCTACTTTGTGCGGGTTAGTTTGACTATATTTATCACTTCCACCATCAATGCGCTTTTGGTCTTTTGGGGTATTTGCAAAGATCACAGTACACTCCGCAATCTGAACTCCTCCGTCAATCTCAACTTCGATCCAATTATTACACATCACGTCCGAACCTCCCAAGAAAATGGCCGCCGATGGTTCCAACCCCGGCTTCTTGGGCAACCTCAACAAGGATCAGGAAGGCAAATTACAAAGGCTTTGGTCAATCCTACTCAAGGCAGGTGAGATATCCCTAACCGACGAACCTATCAATGGCTTCGCCGAGGAGCCTTGGAGTCCAACCCAACCCCAGAGACGGTTGTCGCTTCTTGGCCGTACACAGAGCAACGTCTCGGAAAAGGCCTTGCCGATCCCGAACACACTATATCACCAAAACATTATGGAATGCCTTGCAGAAATGGGCGCTGGCGTGGCTGAATCCAACGCAATCAAGAAGGCCCTCTTGGAGATCACGCCCACGGAGCTTCTTACGGGGGTGCTTGACACTCTCAAACACGACCACCCCGATGCCGTGCTTTTGCGCTTCCTCCGCGCTCGGAAATGGGATGTGCCCAAGTCATTTGCAATGATGATGGAAGCAGTCGTTTGGCGATTAAAGGAAATGCACGTAGATGAAGATGTGATGGCAAAGGGAGAGTTACATGCCCTCAAGCAGACCGAAAACAAATCCAGCATAAGTGAACGGAAAGCCGGAAATGACTTCATGTCTCAAATGCGCATGGGAAAGAGTTACGTGCATGGTATTGATAGGACTGGTCGCCCAATTGTGACGGTAAGAGTCCGCTTACACAAGCCTGGGGCTCAGAGTGAAGAATCTTTGGAGCGACATATTGTCCATCTGATCGAATCGGTCCGACTTACAATGGCTCCTCCGGTTGAGACTGCAGTATGTATTTGGTTTTTGATAGCTAGGTGAAACGGTGTCGCTGACTCTAGGCCAGGCTGTTCTATTTGATATGACCGGCTTTGGACTGTCCAATATGGTATGTCACTGTTTTCGATCCACGCAGTACTACCGTTATCCCTTTACCTTTTCAGGGCTAACGCTTTTTATTGGGGCCAGGAATATCCACCTGTCAAATTTATTCTCAGATGTTTCGAAGTTAACTATCCTGAATCTTTGGGAATTATGCTTATTCATAATGCCCCGCGGGCTTTCTCAGGTCAGTGAATCATTTTGGTCGAGGCTAAGGCACCCTACCTGGCCGATCTCTCTTCTTTTCTCGTCTCTTGGAACTCACCATTTCAATATTTTAGGGATTTGGCGACTCATTCGAGGCTTGATGGATCCCGAAATTGCAGCCAAGGTTGAGTTCACAAATAGTGTCACCGACCTCGAGAAATTCATCCCACGTGATCAGATCGTGGAAGAGATGGGCGGCGACGAGAAGTGGTCATATAAATACATTGAGCCCAGTTCCACCGAAAACTCAAAGATGGATAATACTACGATACGGGACGCCCTGAAACGCGAGCGACAAGCTATTGGTGAAGAGTTCTTGGCTGCTACATCTGGGTGGATCAATGCGACTAAATCAGAGGACGCGACGAAGCTCCATTCTAGCGAAAGCGAAAGAGCTTATCTAGCTGAGCGGCTGCGTGTCAACTACTGGAAACTTGATCCCTATGCTCGAGCCCGTATTCTCCTGGACCGAACAAACGTCATTCAGGATGGTGGCAAGGTTGAATTTTATCCTAAGACAGCTCCTATGGAGAGTGACATTGAAACAACCAAGGCATTGGACGTGAAACATTTAGAGCGGGTTGAGGATGCTGCTCTCACCATGCTGTCGTAGATATATTTATAAATTTTGGGTGTTATACGTTTACGACTGAGATATTCGCAAGTACAGTCGACCACTTGTGCGACCTCGTCATGTCTTTTTGCTAGACTTAGTTTATATGCCTTTCTTAGATATCTTCCCCCTCTTCTTAAGGGTTCTAGACGACTCGTGCATGTGTAGGGAAATGGTTCCAAGGCTGACTGTCTACTCGGCGGCTACTTGACAGATTTGGAACAGACCTACGTACTTGATCTTTCCTTGCGCAGGAAAAAGTTGGAAAGCGATAGAAAGCATTCACATACGCAATCACGGTGATATTTTATTAACTGAAACTCTAAAACACAATTATAGAACCGCTGTTTCTAGACAGAATTCTCATCCCGTCTGTGTATGGTACCTTATCCATAGCAAAAGCATGCAACTAGTATCTTATGCAGGTGCTAAGATGTGGCTATAAAAAGCGGTATCTAAACATTCGAAGTCTTGGCAGATGCATATGATTTACCGTTGGATGTGATAATTAAAAAAGAAATTGATTCGATTTTGTCCAGATATGCATGGCGTAAATCCTTTAGATCGCTGCATGGTTTGGCTGTTGGTATTGCATTGGTGATTGTAATCAAGCATTGCGCCATTCCGAACGCCTGATTGAGGTTCCTCCCGATATTGCATACTCGAATAACACTGCCTACGGACTACATTCCCCGCAGATGGAAGGTGGCTGATTTACGGTCGAAAAGATTCAGGGTCTTTGCGATGCACCGTTTAAAATTGATGCGGTGGCATTCAGTCTGATTTTCCTTTCCTTCTGCTCAGGTAAACAGCATAAAATTACCCAGCTGTGGTGCCATTGCATATCTATGGTCTTCAACGCAGCACAAGGAAGAATAATACCTATACAGAACCTCATATAATTATGATGCATCAGTCTTATGGAAACTATGTTATTGCTTTTTTTCTATTCTTTATCGGCACCTTCGCACAGTTTCCACCTGGGTATGGCTTGTATATCACTTATTAAGGCACACATCGTGGACCAATGATATTGCTATAGTGCTGATAGCCCTATTTTAATTGAGTCGACTGTCTTGAAGGGGGCTCAAATCCGATATTTATCGGTAAGCATATGCCAGACCGATCCCAAAGCGAAAGGCTTTTCGGGGTATATACATCTCCCACCAGGAGCATTAGAAGCGGTTGGGGTAGATCAAGAACTTCCCATGAAAATATTCTTTTGGTTTGTTGAAAGCCAAAATAGCCCTGCCACATCACCTTTGACTTTGTACAGTAAGTTATATGTTTCTGCTATCCCAAATTAGAAGAAAAAGAAAGAAAATAACTGACAGTTCTAGTAAATGGTGGACCAGGTGTAAGTGAGGCATGATATGAAAATCAGTTTGAGCCCCTGCTAACGCAATCCGATTTTTTTAGTCTTCAAGCGGTAAGGGTTTCCATTCAAACTCTCCTATATGTATATCAGCTCAAATGAAACCAAATACAGTCACTGCTTTGCTGAGGGAGAATGGCCCCTGTAGGGTTAACCTAGACAGCTCGACTTTGGAGCCAAATCCATGTGCCTGGAACAAAATTTCCAATATTATATATATTGACCAGCCAGTAAACACAGGTTGGTCTGATCTGAACTGCGAAATGATGAGACTAATATCGATACAGGATTTAGCTATGATGTCCCCGCGAATGGTACCGTCGACTTCCGTGGTCAGCCAACCTTGCAAAACATTGACAGCGACACCTTCGTTACATCTAATAGTCGTCTCCAGCAAGGCGGTACTATTAGTCATGGATTAGCTAGTCCTGCACATGCCATTAACACCACTGAGGGAGCTATAAGATCCGTATGGCTATCACTCGCTATTTGGATGGGAGACTTTCCAGAATTGAGTGCCCGTGACAATGGATTAGAAATTTGGACGGCATCGTACGGGGGCCACTATGCTCGAGCCCTATATCGTTTTACGATGGAGCAGAACGAGGCTCTGTCAGAAAATAGGTCAACTCTGCTCCGGGCTCCGAGGATTCGGATTAACTCGATTGGTATGCTGAATGCATGTGTCGATCCTCTCGTTCAACTACCAAGATATCCTGAAATGGCATATAACAACACATACGGCATACAACTCATTAATGAGACGACATATATATCGGCAAAAGAATCGTGGTATGGATCTGACGGCTGCAAATCCCGCATTGAAAAGTGCCGCTTAGCCTCAGGAACAACGCCATACTTGGGCAATGATTCGACGGCCAACTCCGTCTGTCATAATGCTAATGTCTACTGTGGACAGCATATTGCTGGCCTCATAATCCCCTAGTGGGCGCAGCTTCTTTGACATTGCTCATCGCTCGCACTTTCTTACGGATCCTCCCTTGAATACATACCTAAGGTATCTGAAACAAGCCAAGGTACAACAAGCGCTCGGAACGCCAGTAAACTTCACGGACCAGGCTATTAATGTTGCCCACACGTTCTCCTTGACTGGTGATAACGTTCGTGGGGAATATGTTGCCAATCTTGCCCAGGCACTGGACTCTGGCGTCAGAGTTTCGCTTATATACGGTTATCGAGATTATGCTTGCAACTGTGCGTGTCTAAGTACAAGGCGCTACGTTTCCTTTTTTGTGTTGACTAACAGGTTACCAGGGCTTGGGGGAGAGGCCTTGTCCTTGTCGATTTCATACAAAGGTCAAGCCACCTTTCAGCGTGCTGGCTACACCTCTACGTATGGAATTCAAAAAGATGAAAAAGGAGCAATTCCACCAGCATATCTTCGTCAACATGGCGGCCTTTCCTTTGTTCGAGTTCTAAATTCAAGTCATACCGTCAACACTGTCTGGCCTTCACTTGGCTTTGTACTCTTCAACCGAACGTTACATGACGTCGATCTCGCCACTGGATATGAAGACTTGATCCAGTCGGCCCTTTATTCAACGTCAGGGCCCAGTTCAGTTCGACATATCAGAAACAAGCTTCCTACGGGTTCAGATTTGGAAGAAGGCATGTGCTATGTCCTGGAACTGTCATTGTGCTCCAACAGTCAGCTAAACGCATACTTGAAGGGTAAAGGGGGAGTCATAGATTATTGGCTGGTAGACTATGGCAACGGAACGTGTTGTCCAAATCCTATTCAGCCTTGTCGGGAGGGCCATTCGGGTTTCGGGGGGATTAAGGTATACCTGGGCTTTGGTAGGCCGACCGGAGATCTTTCGTGGTTTCATGTGCTTATGCTAGTCGGGGCTGTGATGATTGCTGGTATCATAGGTTTGTTGCTCCAGAACTTGGCGCAGTTGAGGAACTGGGGTGAGCCGGTGAAGATTAGAAATAGCTACTGCGGTAGTGAATAATCAAGAAACATTGTGCATTGTGTTCATTTTGATTCAAGAAATCTTTCGGTGACCTCCTTATGATTGCCTTCCACAGTCTCCCCCTTTTCAAAAAGAACTAAGCTCGCTATGTATGACCTAGTTTACGGATTATACAAATCCCAGAACGCAGATCGTTCGTTCAATAACGTTTGGGGAGTGTCAAATTCCAACAATTGCCCATCACTGAGCACTGCGATGCGATCAAAATCAACGATGCTGTCAAGCCGATGTGCGATCGAAATGATTGTGACTTCTTCAAACTCTTGGCGAATCACTTGCTGGATGACTTTGTCGGTAGCAATGTCAATACTGCTAGAGATCTCATCCACGACAACAATTCTCCCCTTACGGAGAAGAGCTCGGGCGAGACAGAAAAGCCGTTTCTGGCCAGGCGAAAAGAAATCCACATCCAAATCCACATCAAGTCCCTCTTTAGACTCAATAAGGGCCCAAAGATGGACTTTGCAGAGTGCATCGATGATCTCTTCATCGCTATGCTTTTCTGAAGGGGAAGCATTGAGACGAATTGACCCTTTTAATACAAAAGCATCTTGTGGGATGGCATTGATAGCGGAGCGAACAACCTGCCTAGGGATATTAGTTATATTCACGCCGTCGATAATAATAGTACTCTCAGGTGTGACTTCAAGCAAACGTAGGAGAGTCATGATTAATGAGCTCTTCCCACTACCTGTCCGTCCGCAAACTCCGATCTTCTCCCCGGGCTTGATGTCAATGTTTATGTTCTTCAGAATCAGAGTTCCACCAGCGGAATAGGAAGCTGACACCGTTTTGAAAACAATGCTACCTTTGTCTGGCCAGTTATCAGGGACAGACTAACACACTTGTCGCCTCTGGGTGAACGTTCCGGTATGGCTCTAGGAGAATTCTTCGCTTTTCAATTGCTTCTGTCATGGTTAGAATGAGCTTTACTCCTACTGTGGAAGTGAACACCACCACGATATAAAGAGGGGCGCTCTGCATCCATAATGTCCTTGTATGTGCGATGTCAAACAAAAGTGTGACAAAGAGATAGGTGTTGATCAGTGAAGATGGCCAAATGGAGCGAACGTGCTCGATGTGAGAAAGCCAGCATAACCCCAATGCGTCGGCCAGAGCAAGTGCAGTCGCTGCTAGTGAGGTAGGCGTGCGCACATGAGAGTTGATCGCGTAGAGGATCAACACAGCAGCTTGAAGACTAGTGAACACCACGAGTAAGATCTAACAAGCGATTGTTGCTCATCAGCACGTAAGCTTTTCCGGTGGGTGAGTTGGTGGGAATTCAGACCAGCTTATTGCCCTTTAGGAAGCTATGGGATACTTTGCGCTCTTGACCGTTTAGCGACCACAATCGGAACGGAAGCAAAAAGAGAAACAAAGATGAAGGCAATATTGAAAGAATTGTATATTCAAAGAGAGGACTGAAATCAAAATGATTCGGGCCGGGTATTTGGGGCCCAAAGACTTCCAGGACCGCCTCAAATGGCGTGGAGTTGGAATTCATTGTGCACTGTAACTCAATATGGTGGGAACGCGTTATCTTTATTCCTCCTCGTGGTTTGCTGCAACCTACAGCAACCTAAGGGAACAACCCACCTAATGTGACTCAGATGTATGAGCTCAACATCTTCAGGATTGCAAATTCCCGCCCTTTAGTTGCGTCATTTGACCCCTGTCGCATCTTTCATCCTTTCACTTGTTGATCAATCGCAATCCCAATAGAATTTTATCGAATCTCTATCAAAAAGGGATTGTTATTTTCACTCTCCTTCTATAGACTCAGATAGGATTCGTATGAACCATGGTTGGAGCACAGCTACTAATACTCGCCAATCTGAAGACCAAGTGGTGATAGGTCTAGCAACTGTAAGCCAAGAACCCTTAGAATCCACTCTGGTGCAGATCAGAAGTAACAATCGGAAAATGGAGAACCTTAGTAGTCAATCTTGCTAGGTAGATTGTACTAAAGTAGAAGACTAAAAGGGCAGAATACCTAGGTGGAAAGTCCAACCTTGTAGAATACGTGTACGTGATAATGTAAGGCTAGGCAGGCGGGAAGAGAATATAACGTAAACCTTTATCTAGGATGATAATTTGCGTTCTTAAGAAATTGTTAGAAAAAGAAGCACTAATCGAGATTTGAATATTTAAATTAGAGTCCTTCTGGGGAATGTTAAGGGATAAGGAAAGAAGAAAATCGAAGAGATTTCTCGATTCTTAAAAGCCTAGATAGCTAGTAAGATCCTACCCTCTTGCTCTATTGAATTTTTAGAGCTCTAGGAGTGTATTGGTAGTATGGTGGGTGGTGGAAGAAGAAAGGGGTTAAATTAATTGACGCGTTTTAGGTGGGTGTCTAGCAATAGGGTGAAATACGTTAGTATGCTTGTAAGGCACCGCTAAATATATAACACTCCTTATATGCGGCTAGTAGTCGGGTGTGTTCTGCCTGGATGAGCGGCGTCTTAACGTATATATCTTTATAGAATATTGACGAGCTCGCCCTCGAGGCTGGAACCTATTATGCCGATGGGCCTAAGCGGCACTTACTTGTGTTAGCGAAGCCGATTTGTCTTTAGTGTAATATGAGAATCTCAAATTTGATGGATAACGATTTCTATGGTAGTTGCGGTAAAAAGCAAATAAACTTTTGAGCAAATACTATCGCCTTTGAGAGTTTAAAGGTCTTTGGCTTTTAAGAAATAATATAAGCGAATTGAAATAAAATTAAGATAATCAATAAATCGATATGCTTCCGAATCGATATGACCTCTACTATATCCGAATCCTATATACGGGCGACTATACCTAGGTAGCTCTAGGTATTCTATATCGGATGCAAGGTCCTAGGCCTATATAGGTCCACCACCTAGTCTATGCTAGCTTGCCCTCTATACCGCGCTGCCGTACTTGTTTAGCAACTGTTATAGGTGTAAATTATATCAGAGGTGCTCTAAATACTCCTATATATACTCGCTTGAAGTACAAGTTCCTAGTTTAGTCGTGGAGCCGAGGGTGTAGAGGTTATCTATCGCCATCTTAAAGCATTAATTTTAGTTTGCTAGACGTCGAAATAATATTGAGAAAGGGTTGAACCTGAGCTTTAAGTCAATTGGTCTGCTGGTGTAGGCAATGATAGAATGCCCACTATTAATTGGAGAATTGATTGAGGTGTTGTTGGTCGATTTTCCTTCACGCCTAGGCACTTAAACTGCTATCTTGATCTTTGTTCTCTTCTTCTCTCTTCTTCCTTCTCTTACCTCACCTCACTCGGCGAGCCGCTAGCATCCCTAACCGTTAATAACAATGGATATCTTATAAGGGCCGTCTTCTTGGTTGATAGAGCTATACTGACATTTACAGAATGGCCCGCATATTGTCGCTTAGGTGATGATCCCACCCTCCCTATACCAATCACGCAAGCGTGCCCTCTTATTTACAGAACTGAAGGATATTTCCAAGCCTGTGCGGACTCCTAAATTATAGATTCAGGTTAGCCAGAGGGTCATGTCTAATATCAAAAGGAAAGACTTCCGTTGCACACCAGCACTCATAGCAATAGATACTTGCTTCAACAACTGACTACCGTCGCCGACCACAAAGCAGTCAGGTAGACTGGATTAACAGAAGGGTGGATTCACTATCTCTTCAGAACTGTGTCCCATTGTTTTGAGCCTGAGCTGGTCAATCAAATTCTGTGATCGGTTGACAGTCGGAGGCTTGTGCAGTAGCATGCCGAGAGTGACGGTTTGTGTATCATCGAACTCGATGCTGATGGTGTCCTCTTGGTTCATTAATCGTCGAATTAGTCTCTCGTTAACGTTGATGCCACTGGCAGATGCTGTGCGAAGCGCCTTCTAGACACCTGTATCGGTTGATAACGGCCCATTGCTGTAGATAGTGACATCCTCTGAGAATTGTAAGCTCATGAGAGCAAGTGCCAGGTATTCTAGGGAGCAATACTCCAAAATTCCCACAGGCTGGACCCTGACAACTACATACATACTTATGTAACATATTTCACTACCCAATGGTCCACATCACCGAGTGGTCCACCGCAAAACGTATCATATTTTCTACATTTATACATATCTCAGCAAGTATGTTTTTATTCTAGGCCCGCATCTCTCGGTGGTCATCGATGAAACTTATTAGGATTATTTATCAATGTGAAAGAAGGTAGAAAGTTATATTATTATTATCTCAAAGATTACAGATAATTAGATTGGAAAAAGTTTAAATTATATTTGAATTATCAAGTTACATACATTCATAGAACTTTGTAAAGAGACAATATGTTACCTAAAAAGTATTAAACTATAATCAAATCTCTATATAGACTACCGTTGTTGAGATATGAAGTTGTAATTTATCGCATTTACTATGTGTTTTGCAGTGGAACCAGTACAATGTTTGTTGTGCCCTGGACCGGCCCCCGCCGACCCGAACCTTAGTCATCCAACTCCGAGTTCCGAGGACCGAGCTCCGATAACTACTCACATCCATAGATATATGCCTTCAACTACTTGAAAGTTTGCCTTTTGACTACCATCCCCTGATAATATCAGGTACTCGTACAATGGCGACACCCCGCCGTAATGGTCAATTATCATCCTGCGAGCCATGCCGGACCTCCAAGTTGCGATGCGATCATGCAAGTCCCATTTGTGGACGATGCGAGCGCCGCAGTCTTCATTGTACCTATCACCCAGCTCCATTGACGCAGCCCCTCACTGGAATAACCCCCAAAAAGAAGCGCCGTGTTGTTTGCGAATCAGATCACCCTAGTAATGTCAGTCGACTACACAATGAGAACGATGTATGGACTCGGAAAAAGGCATCAGTCTCGACTCCCGGATTCTTGGGGCAAACTAGCTACTTTGATGCGTTCACAGATACGAGAACTGGACTCCTCGTAGGAAATCCATACGTCACAGGCCATGATAACTTTCCCGTTGACCAAAAGCGTATCAATCTCGGTGCTCGAGTCTTGGCGCTTCTGGAGAACCTCCCATTTTATAGGGAAGTGGTCACCGCTCGATTCAAGATATGGACGGGATGGAGTCTTGGCTGGCCAATCACGAACATGGTTTTCACTCTCGCTGAAAAGATGTGGAACTCCCTAGAAACTGAGGGCATGGACACAAACCAACGAGCCTTCTTCTTGTCAAGAAGACTTTTTGAAACGCATAACCGGGCACTTGAGGTGCATCCTTCAATGACCTGGGAGGACTTCCAGTCCACTGCCGCCGGGAGATGGGAGTTAATAGGACTACTATTTACTCTGACAGGCCTAGCCACGGACTGGGTCCCTCACAGTGACCGCATCTTCATGCGTCCAAATACAATGGATCCGAAGAGTCTCGCCATAACCGCTACCGCTGTGGGAGACATATGTCTCCAGTTCTGCGATAGCACTGGAATTGTGAATGACATTGTGGCCTGGCTTCTACTGCATCATATCACGCTTTTGGCAGTAGTCTATGGTGAAAGTGGTCTGTTATTCCGTTCTTTGTCTGCCAACATTGCCTAACGGTGCTAGACTTTCGACCCTGGAGAAAGTTGGGAGAGTTATCGACAACGGTGTTTGCGCTCGGGCTTCATCAAGATTCTAGTGGAAAGGCTCCATTCTTTCTTTCTGAGATGCGAAAAAGAACTATGGTCGCGGCGTATTCAATGGACAAAGTGCTTGCCACTTTCCTAGGTCGCCCGCCGCTCATAAGCTGGCGCTACTGTGATATCCAAATGCCACTTGACTTGAGCGTTGAGGAAATATTCGCCGATCCAGTCGTCCGTGATGCGGCAATCGCTCGACTGGATGAGAAAGATGGATGGAATCAGCAGTCAAGCTTGGCGAAGGGTACGTGGCCTCGAATTGCCTTGATCACTAGTGTTCTCCGTGAGAAGGTCTTGGAACTTTCACTCAGTTGGCAACTCGAGAATCTCAGCCAGAGGGTCGAGTACGTATACAGTTCCCTGCCCCATCTAGGACATAGCTGATGTTTGCAGGGAGCTTTCACGCGAATCCCGTCAATTGAAACAGGGACTACCACCATACCTCCGTTGGAAACCTGATATTGACGTGGCCGTTGTTTCCAGAGTAGAATATGACATCCTTTTCGATGTTCATATAGAGTTTCTCTACAACGATTTCCTGCTCTACCGGACCTTAGGGAAACGTACCCAGACACAGCCTGAGGCAATCATTGACATCGCTCGAGAGATACTCAAAGCATTGGTCATTATGATTTCCGAGAAAATTCGCTCTGGGCATCCCATCAAAGATACTGGGTTTAATGTAAGTGAAGCATATCTTGGATTATGGGCGAAAAGCCGAAAAGCCGAAAACTCTAATGGACATTAGATATGCTTACCGGGTCTTCCTTCTGCGGGTGTTCTCTGTGCAGAATTACTTCGCCGATCCCGGTCGACAGTAGTAAGCTCTTCACAGGAGTTTCCTCGTTCGGAAATCATCCAAAATTTGACCCTTTTCGCGGCACATCTGGACACAATCGTTAAGCCCCATGACGGTAACTACCGTGTCGCACAGCAGGGTCAGAAAGCAATCCGCCATGTCTTGGACCAAGTTCTCTCCGTCGATGGTCTCTCCTCTGTCGTAGAAGACACTGGAACGAGTGACAAATTGATTGATGATTCTAGCTTGCTTGACGGTGTGAATTTCGACGATCATGACTTATTTCTTGGTTGGCTTGATGGCAATATGCAACACATGTCCGACTCTTGGCTGGCATGGGTCAATTTTACCTAAATATGTCAAGCATATTCAATTAGGCCCCAATATGAGACATTGACTAAATTCCCATTTAACAAGTTCATGGCATAGCTGTACAATTTCGAACAATGCAGATACATAAGCTGCTGGTTGGCCAGCATCTTCGCCGGAGCCCCGGAGCCCCGGCCGCCTCCTTGGCTTACCTAAGATGTAGCACGTGATATTATACGCTTCAGGTCGCCCTGGTCTCCTGTATCTGCCATACAATCTCTCGGATAGAATCCCGAGCTGTCTATGCTTCTTTGTTTCCAAACTTCCTTTTACGACTGACATAATGGACCACTCAGTGTCCAAGTCCCAACCTAGAACAAAACGCCGGAAAATTGCCGTTGCCTGTGATGATTGTAGAGCAAGAAAAGTTCGCTGTGATGGGATACAACCCGGTATGTTCCTTGCGGCAGATGCGGACGGAATGCGACCCGTGCTTACTCAATGAAGTGTGTGGGCCATGCAGTAAGAGGACCGACCAGGGGCCCCAATGCGTCTATACGGGGGAGTTAGAGAAAAAGCGAGCAAGGCAAACGTAAGCGCTATCAATTCTACGTCTAAATCAGTTCTTGGTTGCTAATTTCTGTTCCGGCAGTTATATATCCAAGCTAGAAACTCGGATTCAACAACTTGAAAGCCCACAATACTCAGAGAAGGGTCATGGATCAGAATGGACGCCGGTTGGTGTATCATATCGCTTTGGTTTCACCATCTAATGGGTCTGATTATAGCAGACAAGTCTGCTATCGCCGACACCTGGTAATATCCAGCCGAAAACGCCTGGAACCTATACACGAAGCACCCACAGCCAGGCTGACATATCTATGCCTACGGGTCAGCGAGACGGGGTGAACGCTATGATGGGAGCTGTAGAAGAAGAACGCCCAAATCAAGGTTTCTTTGGGAGCTCTAGCGCAGCAGGATTCATGCGTCAAATTAGAACCGCGGTCGACAGGAGAGTCGCATCACCTCACCGAAGGTCTTCAGTTCCCCATCTGGCTGTTCCTTCAAGTCTGATGCCAACGCGGAGCGAAAAACATCAGTTTTCGGTAGTAAACTATGTGCTCCCCCCTCGAAAAATGGCCGATAGCCTCATGGAGGTTTACTGGGAATACGTCTTCCCGTTATATCCGTTTCTCATCCCCGCTGAGATGAAAACCGAATATATGAAAATCTGGACTGGTCATAGTCTGGAATATGACGAAAACATGCTGATGTGCACGCTGAATGTCATCTTCGCCTTGGCAAGTCAGTTGGCCGATTTTGTCCCACCAACAGAGCGTGAAGCGTCAGCAGATGCTTTTTTCTCGCGGGCGAAAGGCCTGTTTCAATTTAACCTCTGGGATACTGGATCGGCAGGTTTGATTCAATGTTTACTTCTCATGGCCCAGTATCTGCAAAGTACCGATTCTGCACATCAGTGTTGGATTGTCACCGGACTCGCGATACGTAACGCTCAAAGTTTAGGACTCCATCTTCCCCAGAACATTGCCCGCCTTCGAAGCTTTCAAGAGCAACAACTGGCGCGCAAAATATGGCACGGTTGCATTCTAATGGATCGGTACGTTCAAAACTACGCTCTCGCCGGCTAATATCTGGCATGGTTCTTATTTCAATGTTCTCAAAGGGTAATATCTATGACATTTGGTCGCCCTGCGATGATATCAAAGGCTTCTAGTGGTGCGGTTCCCCTGCCAGTCGCTGTTGACGATGAATATATTCCATCTGGGTGTAGTAAAGAGGGCTCCCAGCCTCCTGATCGGCCTTCAATGATGGCATTCTACGCTAAGTCATTAGAACTTTATGAGATCATGAACGATGTGCTTCTTAGCCTTTACAAACCAATTTCCGACGACCATGCGGAAGATGTCCATAACTTCTATTTCGACAATGTTGCAAGCGAGGGAGAGCGGACTATCTTTGAGCTCGACCGCTCACTCACTCGATGGACACGAAGCCTTCTCCCACACCTGCGTTGGGATTCCTCAACGGTATCCACAAATCCTATATTTTACCGGCAAAGTATTGTCTTGCGTGCGAGGTCCGTGATTTGTACTGATGTGTCCAAGGTAGTCTGCAATAACTAACCAATGTGTTCCTACAGGTTTCTACACGTGCGGATGTTGTTGTTTCGTCCCACTCTCTCTAAATACTGTGCTGTTCGAGATAATGCCACAACGGGCCCATCAATCTCGACAAACGACTCCTTCCCCCATCGTGTCGCGCTACAGTGCTCTATCATATGTGTCAAAGCTGCCCAAGAGTCTATCCAAATAATCTACAATAACGTCCCTGCTGACGGGACCGGTGGGCCCCTGCCGGCTTGGTGGTATAACATTCTTTGTTCGTACAGACTTTCCCCAGTGTCTTACTTCGAGGTTCTGACTTATCCAGACGTTTATACTTCTGCAACTGTCTTAATCGCTGGTCGTTTATGCTCTGCGATCCTTGCCGAGGTAACAGAAACCTCCATCGCGCAGTCTTGGGACTATGCACTGGAAGTTCTTCGAAAGTACCAAAGTTATAGCACATCCGCTCGTCGCTGTGTAGCGGCCCTTGAAATCCTTTATGAGCAAGTTGCTTTTGAAGGTCTGCTGCCAACCAACCACATGCCTAGTCATGAGATAGGGGCCAACGCAAGTGCAGTGAATGATATGTCCTTTGGCGAAGGAATGAATGCGGCTATCTTGGATAGCTTTGAGTTTCCTGATTTTCAAGATATGTCATGGTTGAACAGTGTCCCGAGCAACCTTTTCTAGGTACCTAAACCATTGGGTTTACAAAGTCTACAGTGAACTACTTGAGGATTGGGGAAATGCACTTAATTTCGTCTATTTAGCTGAGACGATGCCTATTCCGATGGTTTTTCCTTTTACAGCCCAGGGTAAAGAACAGTCAATTCTGACAGAGAGCATCAATCCGAAACGATGTAATAAAATACAGGACTAACTGCTACAAGCGCTTCTCCGCAAGAGTCAAATCGAATTGCACTACGATGATTGAAAGTATAACACATCCACCGATAATCGCAACCATCACATCCACAGCTCTACGAAAGCCCAGCGCAGTGAATATGTCTGGGAAATAAAATGGTCCAACCTGTACGTAGCATATTAGTGATTGAATATGAGGTATCAAAATTTCGGTGTGATCTTACAAATCCATATAGTTGTCGGCAAACATTTAGACAGACACCAACCTGACTAGCCCGTTCTTGTCTACTCTCCGGCAAATGTTGTGAGAATCGTGGGCATCTACCTCTGATTACCGAAACTCGGCCCGGCATGACTTGCCCCTGGATTTACGAATGCGCTCTAAGAACCAATCGCTCATAGGTCCACTAACTTGTTCCCTCAAGAGACAACTGATAATAATAACAATGTATAGTAATCCAATCTGCTGAGCATCGAAGTCAAACTTTCCCCCAAACGCGATAGGCATTTCAACAATCAAGGCAAGATTGCCATAGCAGAAGGTAATAACATGGGCGCATGCTATAATCAGAACGCTTGGATACTTCGCCAGAGAGAACGGTGCCACGAAATGGAGAGGTTTAATAAAATAAAAGCTGATCTTCCGTGGAATTAGCTTACTCCAGAATCCAGTTTCTTTGCGCTCGTTGTCGGGATATAGATGCTCTCATCGCCAATCGCAAGATAAACCAAAAACTGGCAAAAGTTCAGGATACCACCGATCCAAAAGATCCACCGAACATGAATATGTTTGATCACGAATCCCATAAAGAATGGACTTGCTGGAGTACCACTGGTCATCACAGCCTAGCTATTCCCCCCCGGTGCTCGGGTTCAGATAGCTGTTACTACACTGCTTTACCAATGCAGGGGAAGAGATCAGAAAGGCAGTCAGAACTCTAGCCATTTGTCCACCGTAGAAGCCAAACTGAATGTGTTGCCTAAAATATCAGGCAATAAAATCGTCTGCCCTCCGGGCCTCTCCTTGCTTTATTTTTTCTTTCCCCATTTATCCCATATCCCATTTCTCTCCCGCTGTTGTTGACCAAATATTGTCATACTTTGACAGGTGAGAATATCCCATTTTAGAACAATTTCGGGTGAACAATGACCGAGCAATTTCTCCGTTCTCCGTCAAACCCCCCCGGCATCCCCGGACTTCCCCATATAATCTCCCCCCGGTGGGGTTGATGTGGAGAGAGTTTCCCCTATCTTAAACTTGAAGGTGATTGGTATGATTCATGACGGATTTCCAATCCATTGGCGGATCTCAGAGTCCGTGTGCGAAGAGAAATGTAATTGGAATGGAACTGTTCTCGACTTCCATAAGCAGTCGGCTTGTTCGGGGCATTGATTTCCCGACATTTTGAGATCATTTATAAAGACAAGGTAGCATTTCATGGCGACGACAGTGTCAAAAAGGACACCAATTTCCAACGCCTCACATGCGGGCTTCCTTTTTGACAGCCTTGACGGCGGGGGCCGCTGCTGCCACGGCGCTACACGTCGCAGAAAACCAGACCTACATCACCCTCGCCAATGATCGTCTCACAGCTGTTCTTCAGAAGAGTGTTGGCCAGATCATCGATCTCACTCTCGATGGCCAGGACCTATTGGGTGCTCAGTCAGGATCCACTGGAATAGGGCCCTATCTTGACTGTTACTGTATCCCTTCGGGATTCTACGCAGCTGGTGCCACATCCCCGAGCATGGAGGTAGTCCAGGGTACAGATTCAACAGGGACCAAATATGCAGGCATGATTTTGAGTGACACATATACTCCCACGGGTCAACAATTCCAACAGTACTGGTTCCTACGCGATGGCGAGACTGGATTGCATATGTTCAGCCGACTGGCCTACCACAATGAGACCACACCTTACCTTCGCAACTTGCAGGAGTTCCGAACCTTGTTTCGCCCAAATAGTGATCTCTGGACGCACCTGACGTCTAGTGAGGTCCAGACGGCGCCCCTGCCAAGCAAGGACGCCATTTCGAAGCAGGTGGTGGTTCAAGATGCAACGTGGACATTCAACAACACGCCCGGCGATGCGTACTACACCCAGTTCTCTGAGTACTTTACTAAATATACATTCTCAAACCGTATGCTCGATCTCCTGTCGTCTTGGGTCACTGATTGGTGCATTGGCTAAATTATGGTCTCATTTTAGAATGGAGAAATAATACTGTTCACGGTCTCTATGCCGATGGCAGCACCTCAAATGGGGCAACATATGGAGCATGGCTGGTCATGAATACCAAGGTTGGTTATATTGCTTCAATCTTCACCGAGATCGAACTCCATCTAACAAATTTGTTCTAGGATACATATTATGGTGTAAGCAATATCGAGCACAGTGGGACGCCGGAGCTGACATCTCTTAGGGTCCACTCCATTCTGACTTGACAGTGGACGGTATTGTTTATAATTATATCGTATCAAACCATCATGGAGAGGGCACGCCGAACATCACAAATGGATTTGATCGAACTTTTGGTCCGCAATTTTACCTTTTCAATGGCGGCAAGGGCTCGGCATCTCTCCATGAGCTGAGATCTGAGGCAGAAGAAATCGCGAATCCCCACTGGAACGCTGCATTCTATGATTCAATTGCAAAGCATGTCGTTGGTTATGCTCCCTCGAGCCAGCGAGGCAGTGTCAAGGGAACCGTGAAACTTCCCAAGGGTGCCGTTCGCCCAATTGCTATTCTCACTGTCGACGGTCAATACTTCCAAGATAACAGCGCCGTTCCAAGCTCCTATCAGTACTGGACCGATATCAATGAGGATGGAAGCCTCAGCATTGATCGTGTTAAAGAAGGGAAATACCGACTCACGGTCTATGCAGAGGGCATTTTTGGTGACTTTGTGCGCGACGGAATCATCATTCGTGCAGGAAAGCAAACTTCACTGCATGATATTTGGAAGCAGGAGTCGGCAGGGACAGAGGTCTGGCGAATTGGAATTCCCGACAAGTCCTCGGGCGAGTTCCGACGTGGCAATGTGAGAGATCCGACTCATCCGCTTCATCCTCCCGAGCATCTTATCTATTGGGGAGCTTATGACTGGCGTGCCGATTTCCCTGATGGTATCAATTACACCGTCGGTACTAGTGACCCTGCAACTGATTTTAACTCTGCCCATTGGTCGGTCTTCGGGCCAACGGCAAAGGATTCCCACATCGAGTATGACACAACAAACGACTGGAACATCCATTTCAAGCTCAACTCGAAGCAATTAAACAAGCGTAAAACAGCCACATTGACATTACAATTAGCGGCTGCAAAGACCGCAGCAGGCAACACGGATGTGTGGAACCCGGTCGAGCCATACAACAATTTGTCACTAGAAAGCTATATAAACAATCAGGCAGATCCCTTGACTCTCGTCGTTGGGTTCAACCAATCCAGCAGCTGTATTGTGCGGTCTGCTGTAAGCTGCTACCAGGTTGGGTCAAGAATGGAGTTCCCTGCGGATTGGTTACATGTCGGAGACAATGTGTTGCGATTGCATTTACCTTTCAACGCAACGGATACAGAGACTGCCATTCTCCCGGCCACTGTTTATGTGCAATACGATGCTATCCGGCTAGAGCTCAAGTAATATAGCTCTGTCATGACGTGTTGCCCTTTCAAAACCAGCCAAATCAAACTCATATTTATTCGTTTACATTGGCCATGGTAGTTGGGTTTCATTGGGACTCTTGCCTTAATCGGTCAGCAAATAAAGCAGTCCTTGTTGCCTGATATACATCCTCACAGCAAGTCTAATACATCAAATGGAATAATGATCGAAGGGCTCTGTTCGACCTACACAGATTAGTGGATAGAATCAGGCTCCCTCCTTCGAGAATAATTTAAAATAAAGACACTGTACATGGAATATATCAAGATAAGGGCCTTATTTTCTCAATAGAAATAAATACACATGGTTAAAGCCCCAGAGGCTGGTGACAAACGAAAGGCAAATGAATGGCAAGATCCGCTTTCGAGAACAGTGATCTCACAAATTTGAGAACGCTGGCCTAACAAGACTGGATAATAGAGGCCCTCGAAGATGCAAGTGTACATATGTGTTCCGTACTGGTATCCGTTTTGAGCCTTTCCCGCAGAGACCGCCGTAATTGACAAGTTTGATGGTTCTCGGTGATATTTCCACGACGGAAAAGGCTGCACTGGATGAAATGCAATTTACAGAAGGCTGCCAAAGCTGACACAAGGGACGGCGACTCCAACGGCGTTGCCATTCTATTGAAATTAGTGACTCTGTTCCTCTTCCATCGTCTTGCGGGAGCACATACAGCCTGAGAGTTGGAGTTCTGGCAGCAGCCAACGGTCTGTTGGCAGTTCTTCTTGAGGAAGTCGGTCAGGCCAGCAGCACCAAGGACTACAATATGGTCAGTCTCAACTTCAGTTCAGTGGAGTAGATAAACCACTTACCAGAGACGGGGATGTCAAGCTGAGTGCAACCCTGGCCAAGGCCGAGACCCTCGCTACCAATGGCACCGAGGACGTTGGAGAGGGCACCAATGTTGTTCTGGCTAATACCCTCGCTCTTGTTGATCTTGTTGCAGCAAGACATCTTGGCGCCATTACCACACTTGTTCACTGCATCCTCGACCTCGTTATTGGATTGAGGAGCAACGCCGGCGGCAGAGCCCGAGCCAGGCAGGGCCATGGCGGTAGCAGCGAATATGAAGGCAGGGACGAAGAACTTCATTTTGATAAAGATTTTGAAGAAGGCAAGAAGCGATTGAAGAAGGTTGGTAGATTGAGGGAGAGTAGGAG